AATTCTTATTCAGGAGACATTAAAAAACACAAGTGAAAATATAGCTCCGACATGATAATAATCCTTTGCATTTGATATCTCGTCTGTAACCAAGTGCTTCGTGACATTTCTGTGAAGTGCGTCGACTGTATCTGTGGGCGAATGCAGCTGCCAAATTGCGAACAGCAATATTCCACCCACAGTCATTCAAGTGCACTCGAAGGAGTGCTAATGTCAATCAACAAAAAAAATAAATCACGGCCTTAACTCGACACCGCAGAATTCAAGCAGAAAAAATAAGCCTTCCAACCCCGGTCGGTGTTAACGGTAACCAATTTGAATAACCTGCTGATAAAACATTGATAAACACTTGCTGCGCTGACAAATTACTGGTAGAGCCACAGGCTCTTCGTTGAAGGGAGGAATCTACTTCAGGAAATGTGCACAGGAGCCCAACAAGATACGCGGTCTCTGGCTCAGAGACCACACAATTGCTCTCCCCACCCTTTGCGCGTCACCCTCTGCTCCACTCTGACGAGTTGCACTCGTAAAATCGACTGCAAAGCTATCCGTCCGCTCATTACCTGTCAGAGCTGTTTCCTCGTCGGGCAACTGACCGACAAAAAGTGCCCCTCGTTCCAATAGGGTGCAGAACAGCCCGTGACATGTTCCTGCAGCGGCAAGAACGGCTTCTTCCTTCTCGGCCTAACGGGAATGCAAGACATAGACTTGAGCGGTTGTGAACCAGACCGACTGTATTGATGACAACAATTTAATAACCCAATAATTAATACGTCAAAAGGTGACACAAGTGCTTGAACAACACGACACCCCTCCCCCCCCCCCCCACCCCTCAATGGGATCGGCGACTGTACATTTTGCGGTCGTCTAAACCGGTGTTTTTTTGGCCTTTTTGTTTTTTTAAAAAAGAACAACTGCACTTTTTCTATCTGAAGATTTCTGCTGAGATAAGACCCCCGTTATGATTTTCGCTCTACACTGGATAGGCCGGGGGGGAGGGGGGGGGGGCACGGGGGGAGACACAGGAGGGGGGGGGGAGATACAGGAGGAGGGGGGGGGGGAGACACAGGCGGGGGGGGGGGAGACACAGGCGGGGGGGGGGGAGATACAGGAGGAGGGGGGGGGGGAGATACAGGCGGGGGGGGGAGATACAGGAGGAGGGGGGGGGGAGACACAGGCGGGGGGGGGAGATACAGGAGGAGGGGGGGGGGGAGACACAGGCGGGGGGGGGGAGATACAGGAGGAGGGGGGGGGGAGACACAGGCGGGGGGGGGAGATACAGGAGGAGGGGGGGGAGACACAGCGGGGGGGGAGATACAGGAGGAGGGGGCACGGGGGAGACACAGGTGGGGGAGGGGAGAGGAAAGACATGCCGGGGGGTGGGGAGGAGAGATGAGAAAGGCGGAGTGGGGGAGACAGGCGGGGGGTGGGGGGGGTGGGGGTGGGAGGGGGAGGCCCGGGGTGGGGGTGGGGGTGGGGGGAGGGGGAACAGGCCCGGGGTGGGGGGGGGGAGTGGGGTGGGGGGTGGGGGGGGAGGCCCGGGGGTGGGGGGGGGGGAGGCCCGGGGTGGGTGGGGGGGGGGGGGGAGTGGGGGTGGGGTGGGGGGGAGGCCCGGGGGGGGGGGAGTGGGGGGGAGGGGAGACAGGCCTGAGGTGGGGGGAGGCCTGGGGGGTTGGGGGGTGGAGGCCCGGGGTGGGGGGGGGTGGGGAGGCCCGGGGTGGGGGGGTGTGGGGGGGAGGGGGAGACAGGCCTGAGGTGGGGGGGAGGCCTGGGGGGTTGGGGGGGGTGGAGCCCGGGGTGGGTGGGGGGTGGGGAGGCCCGGGGTGGGGGGGGTGTGGGGGGGAGGCCCGGGGGTGGGGGGGGGGAGTGGGGGGGAGGGGGAGACAGGCCCGGGGTGGGGGGGGGAGGCCCGGGGTGGGGGGGTGTGGGGGGGAGGGGGAGACAGGCCCGGGGTGGGGGGGGGGAGGGGGTGGGGTGGGGGGGGAGGCCCGGGGTGGGGGGGGGGAGGCCCGGGGTGGGGGGGTGTGGGGGGGAGGCCCGGGTGGGGGGGGGGGGAGTGGGGGTGGGGGGGGAGGCCCGGGGTGGGGGGGGTGTGGGCGGGGAGGCCCGGGGGTGGGGGGGGGACAGGTACCCTCAGAGGCCACAGGATGTCCAGCACCGAGTTGCAGTTGTGGCAGTTGTGGAGCACCGACGCCGACAGCGCGTGAAGCCGCCGCTGCAGTTTACTCGGCGCCGCCATGTTGCCGGTCACGTGCCGTTGCGGAACTGACGTCACGACCCGACCCTCCGTCACCGGCTCAGAGGCCGGAAGTGCCTGTGATCAGCAGCTGCTCTGCTCTCACCATCATCACCACCATCATCACCGCCATCCTGACGCTTGCTGCAGCGCCTCGTCATCGAGGCGTCCCGAAGCGCTTGGGCGGGATACACCGTCAAGTGTAGTGACTGTGTTTTCCGTGGGCGAAATACATCCAAATGGAACGATTCTCAGCACCAGCGAAGCAACGAATGGCACAAACGAGAGAGAGAGAGAGAGAGAGAGAGAGAGGGAAAAAAAAGACACCCGGGATAACAATATGTACATTACATGAAGCGAAGGCCGCACGCTTACGCTTTAAAAATATTTTTAACGACAGGTAAGATTGCCGTCGAACGCGACCTGCGTTATTTAATCTCAACAACAACAACAACAACAACAAGATTCCATTTATAAAGCGCCTTTCACGTCGGGAGGACGTCCCAAGGCGCTGCACAGTTGGGTCATGACCCGAGCATTGGGGGGAAATGGTCAGGGGGAGGGGAGGGGAGGGAGGGAGCGAGGAGGGGGGAAATGGTCAGGGTGAGGGGAGGGAAGGGAGGGAGCGAGGAGGGGGGAAATGGTCAGGGTGAGGGGAGGGAAGGGAGGGAGCGAGGAGGGGGAAAATGGTCAGGGTGAGGGGAGGGAAGGGAGGGAGCAAGGAGGGGGGAAATGGTCAGGGTGAGGGGAGGGAAGGGAGGGAGCGAGGAGGGGGAAGAGAGTCGAGAGGGGAGCTGAAGGCACGGTCAAAGAGAACTCCAACAGCGGTGTCCTAACGACAGGAAAACAGTTGATGGGACCTTGATGCAGCTCCATGTACCTGCAGTGTAACAGGACCCCCCCCCCAATTTGTAAACCTCATTGAGAACATTTCTCCCAGAAAAGCCCACCCCATCGCAAAAGATACTCGATGAACACTTATTCAGAGCAGGTTTTGATTCATTACAATGTCGTGGCAGGGCTTGTGGATACAACTCATGGTCCGATATATTGTAATAATGCAGTAGCAATTTCTGACAATATTGTTTGATATTTATGGTGCAATCATTTTTCCTGGAAGCTCAAGCTTCTCTTTGGTCTCAATTTGAGCCTTTTGATGTCCCAGCTCCATTACTCTATCATGGAATGACATCGCGTAAAACAAAATACCAAAGATCGGGGGAAAAAAATCTACAAATAAAACCTGCAAAGATCTTGGGAGTTGGATGACCAGCTCCATATGACTTTGCTGATCGTAATACAAGACATATTCAAGAATACGAAGAGGTTCTGCAAAAAATACTTTTTAACATGTAAACTCAAAAATGAGAAGAAGAAATGACGTTGTAGCATAGTTTTCATGTTTAATGTGCATATACATACAGATTAATAAACATTACTACTTTAAAACAAAACCTGAACCATGAATGCACAATGAAGAGAATGTAACAAAAATACAAAACCTTGTATCAAAATTCTGTTAATAAACATCCACATTTCTTTCCGGGTAAGGAACGTCGAACAACTTATTTTGAAAGACTAGTTGACTTCTTTCTTTTTACCGAAAAAAGTACTCGCAGACAGTTCAGTACTTAACATTTACCTAACTACAATATGCATTTAGAGATACTGAACTCATGTTGTCTAGAACATCTACTTTCTGAATTTAACAAATATAACAGCCCATTAAAAATGCGCTGGAGGAAAATACTATGTACAAGAGATTAGGGTTTAACCTTAGATTTTTTTTAAAGATTTACAGAGTTTCTGCTGTGCATCAACATGTTACATTCACACCAAAATTCATCAAATGATATACACTAAGTTTATAGACAGCTTTTCCTATACATTGGCTATTACACAATGGAGTGAAAACAAATTAGTTTCTAGCACAGTCCAGCTAATGCTGCAAGCACATTCTTTTAGTGGTGGGCTCCCAGTTTCTCTCAACAAGCTCAGTTCGGTTTTGTTGGAGCTTTCAGTCTCACTGCAGGGGTAGTACGCACTTGCACTTTTGCCTGCTGACCTTGGACTTCAGAGGGTGTTGCTGTTTGAGCGGGGCTTTGAGGAGGTGGTGTCTGGATCTGAGGCGAGGCTGCTGTTACGACCTGGTGCTGAATGAGTTGCTGTTGCACAACCTGAGCAGTTGCAGTTGTCGGAATCACTTGAACTTGTTGCCCTGTGGTTCCTTGGGGCAACGTAGGGCCCTACACAAACACAGAAGGTGGCACATTTGGTATAAACTAACCATATATTGTACTGTACTTCGGGATATAGAGTCAACCAATTCAGAACATTGATCCATAAACTTGATTATTTACTTCACAGCTATTTAACAATAAATAATAATAATCCTTGCATTTCATAAAGCCCCTTATCATGTCATTGAGACATCTCAAAGTGTTTCACAGGATATACTATAAAGTGGAGTCGCTGTATTTTGTGGGAGAAATGTGACAGCCAGCTGCGCGCAGCAGTGTCCCCCAAACAGCCATGGGGTGAGTGACCAATTTTATTTGGGGGATTTGTTGACCAGGACACCGGGAGAGAGAAACTCTTCTTTTTTTTGAATAGTGTCATTGAATCTTTAACGTCCGCAGTCAGACGGGACCTCATCTGAAGGACGGCACCTCTGACCACCCAACATCCCCCCAGCACTGCATTCAAAATAATAATATTATCCTTGTATTTGATACAGCACCATATCACGCCTTCGAGACGTCTCAAAGCGCTTCACAGAATATACTGTAAAGTGAATTGACTATATATTTTGTGAGCGAAACACGGCAGCCAATTGCACACAGCAGCGTCCCACAAACAGTCGTGAAGTGAGTGACCAATTTATTATTTTTTTAAGAAAAAGCAATCTACCAATCGACCAACAACTGGGTTCCTACTTACTGCTAGGTAAACAGAGGCATGTGGAATAAGGAAACCTGCCTAATGTTTCGCCCTCCCGGGAATCGAACCCAGGTCCTCTCGCTCACGAGGTAAGTGCTCTAACCAGAGCTACAGGACTCAATAATGTATGTGATTTCAAGTCCTGACATTGGAGGCTTGAACCCACAACCTTCTGATTCAAAGGTGAGAGTGCTACCACTGCGCCAGGCTGACACACAGCTTAGACTACAACAGACTGCACCCCCTATCCGCAAACATCTATTGTTTTCGTGTGCCAGAAACCAGATGAAATTTACCTGTTGTGCCGTGGATACCATCTGCTGGATATTTCCCACAGCAGCTTGTTGTACCATCTGTGGAAGCTTTGTAACCTATTGAACAAGGTAAGTTTATGTTAACTCTGAACCTTTAGTCAATTAAAAAACAAACAAAATGAAATTGATATTTAAGTCTGTGCCCTTAATGGACCTGTGCATCTGTGTCCAGGGAAGATAATTAAATTATAAGTATGAGGATCCCTTCCGAGTGTTGTGAATGTTTTTGTTCCATCTACATCATCCGTGACTCTAGAATTGTGACAGGACGTGACATTCACTGCTCAAATCAAAGGCAACAAAGCATTCAACTTTCACAGCGGAATAATTTTGTCGGGTTCACGTGTTGAAGTATTTGATATACACATGATATTCACCATCTCTTATCACTGGAGCTATCTACTCTAATCCTATTTCCCCGTTGTTTTCCCAAACTCGGGTATCGTATCTCCATTTTTAAAGTTTTTAATCTTATACTCCTTCAACTCGCCTACATTTTATACACATAGATAAGAAAAGAAAACCAGTCTCGACAAAGCTAGCACATAACTTTCGCAACATATTTTACCTGAATCTGCGTCTGCATCGGTTGTGATCCACTCTGCTTTTGTGGCTGTGCAACGCTCAGGAACTGCGGCTTGAGGCCTTGCTGGAGCTGAGTAGGTGGTGCGTAAGTGACTTTCTGCTGTTGTTGGGGTTGGCCAGTTATCTGAAATAGTCGGCAAGTAAGAAAAACATGTGTAGCTCCTTCATCAAACTCTTTCACTCTACAGTTTGAGAGCTCTGACCTCAGCATCTGCCGTTGGATCCTTTCACAGATAGTGTGAATATAAATGGGTAAGTGAGATTGTCAACATCTTGTCACCTAACCGCGTCCCCACTACCCAAGCAAAGAAAGAGAAAATCTCAGCACCACTTGTAAGACTTAGTTCCAGTCATAATGAAATCTGCAACTGTACAGTTGCAAACTTGGCATCTTAAAGCAAGGCATTTTTCTAAATGGAAACAAGAGGGGAAGAAGTAAAAAGTAAAACATTTTAAAATATAAATAATAATAATCCTTATATTTGATATAGTGCCTTATCACGTCTTCGAGATGTCTCAACGTGCTTTACAGAATATACTGTAAAGTGTAGTGACTGTATATTTTGTGGGCGAAACGCGGCAGCCAATTACGCACAGCAGCGTCCCACAAACAATCGTGGATTGAGTGATCAAATTATTATTTTTTTGGAAGGCATTATTACCCTCAGAAAAGCGATCCGCAAATCGACTAACAACCGGGTTCCTACTTGCTGCGCGGTAAACAGAGGTGTGTGAAAGTAAGGAAACTTGCCCAGTGTTTTGCCCCGGCCCAGAATCCAACCCAGGTCCTCTCGCTTACGAGGCGAGTGCTCTAACCACCGAGCTGCAGGACTCGAAATCAAGAAAGAGCAGCTTAATAAGACAAGTGTAACAAGCACTTCTCTCAAGGGATTACCTTCTGCTGGGTGGCTCTGGCTGCTTGTCCCGGCTGGGACCCGGCTGTTTGCTGCTGCTTCACCATGAGAAGGTGCTGCACTTGCTTGGATGGAAAGTTATGGGTCTTCACCCCTGCCGGTACACCTGGAAAACAATCAGGAGATATCATCCCTGGGCCAACAGCGTGATGGTGCATCAATGTGCATCAATCCGGCTCAAGAGCTTCACTTCAGCAACGGTAGACTTCAATCAGTTATCTTTCAACTTCTGATCAAGCAAATGACATGAGCAAAAAAAATGAACCATTTTCTCCCTTCAACACGTGTGGTTTCTGTGTGAATAACACAAGCAGTTTCTCCCTAACTGTGAGAGAGAATTAGAGGATGATGTCCAGCCAACGTATCCACAGTAACAAGTCTCCCAATTTCAATCACAGACCCCCCCCCATTAATGCGGCGAACCACAGCAGCTGACAGACTTTGCCCGAGCAAATGAGGTGTCATGGACGAAGCATTCCAAACCTTCTATGCAAGTGGTATTTACCAGGTGTTCCTTTCTGGGGCTGAGCAATAGCCACACTAATCCCAGCGACAGTAACCGGGAGCGTTGTTACTCCAGACGGTACGACGCCTGCAGGTACAGGCACGACGGAGGGCTTGGCGAGTGTCACTTGTGTGGTCGAGGCTGGCTGTGTCTGAGTTTGAAGCTGCGATGTAGGAACGCGAGCCTGCGGAGAAAGGAATCACACATCCAGGACAAGAGCCAGTGTTCGCCCATCTTCCCAGCGTGCATGTACGACAGGGTGGGGAGAACCCTTTCGATCCTTATGCGGATTTTGGACCTGGAGCACAAATCCCACCTTGAATAAGGAACTTGAACACCTTCCAGCTTCTTTTCAAGGGCAGTACAAGACTCTGCATCAGACGATTCTGCAACAACGCCCAGCCTCACCACGCATCCTTTACTATTATATTATTACACAAGTGAAAGCCAGTGGCATCTACTCAGAACTGACCTCCAATTAATGCATCTAAATACACACGGTGCAACAAACATCAGTGTTCCTGCTCAAGGCTCCAGCTTGGAGCACAGCATCTCCATTCTCCCAATAGTCCAGATCATCAGTTTTCTCTTTGCTGTGCACATTGTTGTTACTAGCTTGCATGTGAATGATTCCTTATTGGGGTGTGTATTATCATATCACTTTTTGGTCTAGTGCTTGACAAAGGTAATCATATTGATGCAACTTACGATCCGAGCAACTGGGATGTTTGCTACTGTGCCGGTCTGCATTGGGCCTCTCTGAGTTACTTGTTGCTGCTGCTGCTTCTGTTTGAATTTCAACAACTGTTCCTGAGACAAAAATAAAATGGAATGAGACTGGTTTACAGAAACATTTATAACAGAAATAGCGATGGCAATTATCACTCAGGCGATCACTGAAATACGATTGCTAAGAGCAGTATATCTTTTTTGGCTACTTCCCACCATGAAGACAGCGACAGAAAGATTGCTATCCTTAGCAATTCAGCATAACTGTCGTCAAGGAGATCCTTTGTGCAACTTACCACCTTTTTATAAAATGGTAGGGTAGCTAGGTTGAGGATGGATACCACTGACTGACAATGAATCATTGATGAGTTCACACTCATTGTTGTTAAATGAAAGTTACAAAAGTTGATTTTGGTAATAATTGACAATTGGGTTTGGTAGCATATGGAATCTTTAGAATCACTGTACTCGAAAGCTGACAGGTTTAATAATATATAACAATTCTCGCACTTGATACAGAGCCTTATCGCGTCTTCGAGATGTGCCAAAGCGCCTGGTGGAATAAAGTGAATTGACGGTATATCTTGTGGGTAAAATATCTTACCGGCTGTAATTTCTGCATCGTCTTTAGCGGGGTCTGGGATTGGGACTGGATTTGCTGAACCTGCACCTGAGGCGTTTGTTGTCTGAAGAGCTGGATTTGTGCCTGAGCGATAGACTTTCCCGTGGTGAGCTGGACGCTGTTGGCTGTGACTGGAACAAGCGGCAACAGTGTGAACATGAGATTCGAAAGACACTTAAGTAAAGTTGAATGAGAATCTTAGTAAGTTCTACACAACATTAGGACTCTGATCAATATTTGAAATGTCTAGCTATTTCCTATTGCTTGAATGACCTAGTATCAGGCACCTTTTGCTTTATTTCATGAGGAACAAAGGGCCAAACCTGAGAATTGTGGTGAACGGAAAATAATGTAACAACATAAAATAACTCCTTGCTTTTTTGGTATAACTCTTGTAACGTCGAGAATATTTTAAAGTGCTTTGCGAAGTTCCCGTAATGTGCAGTGACTATTTGTAGCCGAGCCTATGATGGATTATTATCATAAATCCCTCCAACGGAAGTCAAGCTATTTCCCCGGGTTCACCTCAGGATTCGAGAACCACATATTCATCTTATTTGCTTTAGATACTAACAGTCCTGTCTGTAAAGTGGGCGTAGGTGACCTGGGGAGCTGTCGATGTGCATCACCCACCCCTCAGCTACTCTTAACTCAACTGATTGAGGACAGGTATTGATGTGCTGGAATAGCCTCCCGACAGGAAGACATTGTGGTGGGTCGAGATGCAGTGTATTCCAGCAGACAGCAAGCAAGTGGAGATTATGACAAGTACCGCTGAACTAAAGGGCTTTGACTAAATGTACAATACAATGTCACATGGCAGGACAGAATATTAGTTGTAACTCATCACCTGAGAAAACATGGCACTTTACCTGGTGTAACTTGTGTCACCAGTGACCTGGTCTGGGACTGTGCGGGAGACAGGCTCGTGGATACCACAGCTGCTGTAACTGGAGTTATGGCAGCTCGGACCCCCTGGTTGGTTGCTATGGCCACAACTTCTGTAGCAGCAGATGTGGGAACAGTTCTCTGCTGTCCATGCACTACCTGGGCAGCTGTACCTCCTGCAGTCTGGATAAACAGCAGCAATATTAATGCAACACACTATTTCTACACCCGGGAGTTTGTCAAAAGTCATATTTTAGTATTTCGGAGTTAAACTGAGATTTCCAACAACTTTAAGCAGTGATTTAATAATATTTTATTGCAGCTATGTCCTCTCTCTGCATTCAAAGTCCAAAAGTGCTGCTGGTTATATAATAATCCTTGCATTGGATGAGCTTTATCACGTCATTGAGAAGTCTCAAAGTGCTTCACAGGATATATGGTGAAGTGGATTGACTGTGTATTTCCAGGCAAACCCGGAAGCCCAATTGCGCACAGCAGTGTCCCACAGACAGCCACCAAATGAATGACCAAATTTAATTGGGGGATTGTCGGTCAGGACACCCTGACCTGTCGGTCAGGAAACTGACTTTCCTTTCGGTCAGGAAACAAAGTTTCTTCCTCTTTTCGGTAGAGACTTCAAACTACTATGTCGTACATTGCTGAGGTTCTATGTAGTTCTTTTTATACATAAAAAAATGAATAACGTGTACTCTGACAAACAATTTTACTATTTCTGAGCCACTAACTAACCTGTCCTGTATTTCAGAAAATTTGCTTGTAGATATTACATTAAATATGGTATAGTTACTGTCACATATTATTTTACTTACTGTTAGTGTCCCGGGAATAACTGGCTGTGTGATTCGTTTGTTAATAGGCTGAAAGGTACTTTGTTGTATTCCTGTGGCTGTATTGACTATAACATTGCCGCTCACTGTAGCTGGAATACAAAATTGGTGTAAGTGTACAGAAAAGTAATTATATTGATCTGCTAAATAAAATCTTTTGAATTGTGTTGCTTACCAGTCTGTATGTTTGCTGTACCAGCTGCTGTCTTAATGGCTCCAGTCTGCTTTAAGATCACAATAAACATAATTTGGTTTAGTACAAAAGACAAACTGCGACTTAGCACAAGGTAAACCATCATATATTACTTAAAACGCTGACGAATTAATGTAAATCAATTCAAGTAAGGAAAGGGGAGGCGCTGGGAGAAGCTTGCACAAGTTCTTTAAAATCCGATTTTAATCAATAATCTACACTGCACAAGCTTAATTCAATGCAGCCGGTAAGTGTGCACGGTTCGACAGGTTAGAACTTAATTTCCCGCTATTCAAGGCAGCCTAATGGAGGACAGGAGAGCGGCGTTATGAGTTAAGAGTTTCTTTATAAAATACGACTAGTGCAGAGAAATCTAAGTGGTTTTTGGTAGGAAACTGAATGGGAACTTGAGTACACGTATGACTTAGGCAATCGTACGATTTATATAGATGAGACTCATGCGAGTTTTACTGTGCTGTTGGATCCCTGATTGCAAAGATTATTTATCCAATTTAGCTAACGTACAACTATATATAAAAAAAATTCTTTCTCCCAGCACCCAGGTAAAATCCTAGCAGAGAAGTCAAGTAAAAAAGTTTGTACCAGCACCGCAGTGTTTGCAACAGTAGCTGCAGCAGGCTGCACTACTGCCTGCGGCTGTGCTTGCTGCTGGGGCTGCTGCTGTTGCACGGCTGGCTGTGTGTTCTGCTGAGCTTGTTGCTGAGCGAGCTGCTGCGCTCTCTGTTGCTCTGCCAAAGCCTTGAATCAAACAAATTAGAAAACATTTCAATGCATCCACAAAACTTTGAAAGCAAATTTAATTTCAATGTGGCCTCACATAAGGAATCGTTCCCCGAACGTGAACTTGTACATTGTGGCTTATTCGGATGACACACAAACCATTGTCTCGGTGTGGAGTTGAATGGCTCAGGACAAGGGTAAGTGCATGTTACTTTCATGCCCAAAAGAATGTTCAATGTTCTGCTCTCATTTGTAAGTTATAATCATTATTATTATAATTGCCACATTTAGTGCAACTGACATACTTTCACTTGAGTTTCCAAATCAAAATAAGTTTCCGAAGAACTTACACACACACACCTTGCTGCAACAATCGAGTAAGTCACTTGAATTATTTTTGAACCACAAGATCTACATTATTCACTAACATTCAGAGTACAACTAAGTGTACATTATACGATGATTATCTGCAGCTGATGACTTAATCGTAAAGTGGCTCAAAGACAGCAATAGCCAGATTAAACCTTCACACACAAAACATGTACATATGACCAACGAATAATTCAGACGAAAGTGGCATAAAACCGATTCAATCTGTTGGTTGTCAAAGAATTCCCACAAATGCAAGAAACTTTCAAACTCAAACCTTTTTTTCCTTTGCAATACGTTCAGCTCGAAGTGATGCCACCTGGATTGGAGTCAATGGCTTATCATAATTGATTCCACTAGAAAACAGTGAAAACATTCCAACAGTTGGTTACTTTGGTTTTCAGGTAACGGGCAGAACAAAATCAAATCAATGATGAAATCGACAGTACCAATAAAATGCACTGGTTACAGACCTCTCAGCTAACACTGACGCATTCTTTGGATTTTTCTGGAAAGGATTCATACCGAGCCTAGAAAACAGAACAAGTTTGTTTGAAGATCCAACAGAAATGATGGAACATATCAATTTAAGTACGTGGACTGATGGGAGGATTGATGGGAGGATCTCTTGCACCTATCTGCAACATTCACTCGCAAAGCAGCATATTTGAACTGTATTTGAACATTGCTAATCTTTCTCTGCCTACGGGCACAGTTCCCATCCGCTTAAAAGCAGCTGCCATAACCCGCATCTTCAAAAAAGCTAGCCTTGATCCTTCTCTCCTCCTTATCTACCATCCCATCTCCAACCTCCCTTTCCTCTCCAAGGTGCTTTCAGATCCCCAACCCCTTTCAAATCCAGCCCCCAGCTCAGGTGCAAACCCTCTACTGTCCAGCGCCTTGGGACGTCCTCCCGAGATGAAAGGCGCTGTGTAAATGCAATGTGTTGGTGGAGTTGTTACATTTGACCGGGAAGTTGTCATTTTAGGGGGTTTGTGACATGTTCCAATAAGCTTTGTGTGGGGCGCACCGTGGGGCTTACTGTCTTCAAAGTACCAAACATTTTCACCGTAGCGTGAAGAACACTTACATAGGTTTGATCGGTGGACTTCTTTTGCCAGCGATAAGCTTCACCAGCTCGAAATGGCTTGTGAAACGTTGCGTATGCATTGCGCTCTCGTCCTGTGCGTAGATCTGGCTAGTTCGCAGTGGACGACTGTTTTTAGTCTGAGAAAAAAAGATACCCTTTAAGTTTATGATTTGTACCTTATTCAAGTAAATGGTTATTTGAGGGTCAACAATGAATACATTTGCAATTACCTTGTAAATGCTTTTTGTTTTCTTCTTTGGATTAGCATCATATATCAACTGCAAATAAATAAATAGATAGGAAATGCTCCACTGATTTGCTCAATGTCGAAAGTCAAAACATATAAGCGATATAAATTGTGAAAAATTCTAAATTAAGGTGGGAGTCAATAAAACATTACAGTTATCTCAGAATGTACTGGACAATGAATGCATCTGTAGCTAGTTCCAGGGTCATGTACCTTTCCTTCTTCTCTTGGGATGATGACATTCTCATATCGGTTCCGACATTGTTTAGGTGAGCGATAGATGTGACTGCAGGAGTTCACAACATCACTGACGAGGTCCCAGTTGGGTGTGTGTGCGGGGGAGATGATGGCGAGGCTCAGAGGCAACTCCAGTAACTGCTTTACAGCCTGACAACAACAGCAGCAGCAGACATTTCAATTACAACGTTAAATTCAATGATATATCCACTTTTTTCTGCATCAACAATAACAACAAATTACATCCGTATAGCGCCTTTCACGTCAAGAGGGTGTCCCAAGGCGTTGGATAGTCAAGGATCCACACCCGAGTTGGTGGTTGGGATCAGGTGGGGTGGAGGGCGGGGGAAGGAGGGTAGGAGATAAGAGGGTGACTGAAGGCCCAAAGAAGTCGAAGAGGAGGGTCTTGAGAAGGTTCTTGAAGGATAACGTGTGTTGATGAATTACCTGCAATAATGCCCAGTCCTCACTGATCAGCCACTCGGGGCTGTCCTGCCCTCCATCCACAGTTTGCTTGCTGAACGATGGCAGAGGCTTTGCAAACGGCGCCTGCTGTTTCAGGAACATGTTCTTCTTCTGATCCTTCGCCTCCCGCCGCATCTTCAGTATACAGGGTGCTGCCCTGTCAAACAGTGAGCGTGGAGGGGACACTGCCTCGCCATGTCGAGCTTTCTTGAACTTCTTCCCAGCAGCTACATTGACAGAATAAATACACCTCGTCTCACTTTTTGCAGGTTCGCAAGTCACGTCATCTGAGTACCCAAAATATTATTTTTAGTATAATTTTCTCTTTTTTTGCAAATGAAACCAAGATGTCCGATACTATTCAGTGACAGTCAGCCCACCCCCAACTCTCCCCCGCCCCGCCCCATCACGCGACTCAAAGATCAGACGTCAGCTATTTTTTTTTAGTTCAGAAAGCTGGACGGTCAGAGCTGGAGCCTGGGTGTATTGAGCAGTAGACTGAGGCACAGTAGCTGTTGCCTCATGCCTCATGCATTGGAGATGTCAATTAATGCATGTAGATCTACAGCAAGGAAGTATTACGTTGAAGGGCGCTTTAACAGAGTAGTTGTTGCAAACGTCTGTTCTAATTACGGCAGCTATTCTTGAGAAACCACACTAAGTGTGGAGTCCTATAGCTCAGTGGTTAGAGCACTCGCTTTGCAAGCGAGAGACCTGAGTTCAATTCCAGGCAGGTCAGGGCAAAACCTTGGGCAAGTTTCCTTACTCCACACAGAGCCTAATAATAATCCCTCCAAAACCCAAAACAATAATAAAAACTGGTCATTTTCAATCTACGACTGTTTGTGGGACATTGCTGTGCGCAATTGGCTGCCGCGTTCGCCCACAAATATACAGTCAATTCACTTTACAGTGTGTTCTGTGAAGCGCTTTGGGACGTCCTCCCGACGTGAAAAGCGCTATATCAAATGCAAGGATTATTATTATTATTATAAAGTGAACGAATCATTTTTAGGTTCATGGTTTTATCATTGAGTAAAGCAGTTCTGGCTGTAAAACCCCTAAGTTAAAGGAAATGTTACTCACCAGAGGCGTCCAGCTTTAGTCTCTTGTGTTCCTTGCGGACATACACCGGAGGAAGTTTAGATTCTGCAATAGCTGTTGTCTCGTACATTAGGCACATGACTGGATCCATATAGATGTCATTGTCATCCTGAGGCGGAGTTGGAGGAGTCCAAATCTACCACAGACAGAAGTTAATATAGAACCCAAGTAATTCTATACATCCTTGCATTTATTTTTAAAAGTGTATTTGCGCCAAAACTCACAGGCATTGTTTCATTCTGTCCATCTGCACCTTCATTCACATATTCCTTTATGTAGAAAAAGAAACAAGAATTATAATGTACGACGTTTTATTTTCCACCAACATGATTGCTTATTAATCCCAAATCTTGTAATAAACGTATTCTCCTCTTGTTTAACCAAGTCTGTGCCAGAGTTGCATCAATCGGGTGGCTTAGAGCCACTTTTTCAACAGATGAACTACAAAAAGTGACATTCAAAGTGCTGTACAAGTGTTTGAGCAACCCGCGATCATCAGAACATATATGATTTTTGGCAGTTTGTGATTGTTAAGAGTGAAACAGCCACATTAAGTACAGGAGCCAAGACAACGCAGGGGGAATAGGGACGGGAACAAGCTCCACTGGTTTAAACTGAAAATAATCTTTGACATATTCAGTGTAATAGGCACCTTATTGTATGCGTCCTCACGGGTATAGGTGAACAGTAGGCCATTTTCGTCCTCTTCTAATTCTCTTTGCTTTTCCTTCTTTATATTCTGCAGCTGAGAAAACTCCCAGGCCTGCTGAGCTGCTGTCACCTGAACCTAAACCGAACAGATCTCATCATCAATACACAAACTGTCAAGTTGGCATCTATTTTTTGGTGTTGCTTGTAAATCCACAGGAAAAGCAGAAGACCTTACAGTAAGAAGACTCAAGAATATTTTATACAGCAAAGAGCCAGATATCTGTACTAAATGAGATTGAGATTCAAGCGCTTTGGGATGTCTTTCTGATGGGAAAGGCGCTTATGGAAATTCATTTATTAATGACTAAATTAATAGCTGGGTAGGACTTTATCTTACTTACCTCAGGAGGTCTCTGTTCTTCTGGAGTAATGAATGCTTGAGTCAGCTCCAGATAATTCATGGCATATTTTTCCACTGGTGTAAGCTGTATGAGTAATTACTTATGTCAGTAACATAATTCAACTAACAAAGTCAAATAAATTAATTTAAACACATTGAGTTCCACTTGAGAGGCCGTGTTGAAACACTGCAAGCACAAAGAGGAAAAATCCAACTTTGCTGCAAACTAGAGATCCTGCGATAAGAGTTTATTACTCTGCGGAGAACTCAGTTGGGTTGTAGATCAAAACTCTTAAATTCATAGCAAAAGATAATGAGAAAAAAAAATACCTGTTCAACGAGTGCAGCTAATTCATCCAAGTGTGAAGGTCCTTCATACTTCAAGGATCGTTCCTTGGCGTTAGAATGAACAAATGCTTCACTGGATTCCAATTTTGCGGTGGGCTCAGATTTGATACAATCACCACTTTCCCGTTCAATGCTGTTCAAAGCCTTTGAAACAGTTGAAACCATTTTTAATTGTTTCGAATATTTAATCTGTTAAATAAGGCTCACAAAGAAAGAGACTTCTGGGTGAGCTAAATACTTTGGATCTTATATTAAGGGAATACCTAGTTGTGTTAAACGTAGCCGCATACCCTAATAGTTGAAATATCAATCAGATAAGAGCTTGTGCATTTGTAACCTATTATTTTCCCACAGACATTTAATCTGTTATTTTACAGACCCTGGAAAGCAATCAGGAGCAGAAACCAACAACAACTTGCATTTACATATAGCGCCTTGGGACGTCTTCCCGACGTGAAAGGCGCTCTATAAATGGAATCTTGTTGTTGTTGTTGTTGTACATAGCGCCCCTCACACAGGGTAGCGTCCAGAGCGCTTGACAAGAGCACACAACATCAAGACGAGGGGAGGAGGACATTTAGGTGACCATAGGCATGGTCGAGTAGGAAGATTTTCAGGCACGACCTGAAGATGGGGAAGGAAGGGGCAAGATGGGGGGGATAGAGGACAAGTATTCCAGGGTTTCAGGGCGAAGTGGCTGAAAACGCAGGCAAATCATGTACGTAGCAAATCATGCTCGAGAACAGCAACAGCCAGGCTATTAAATGAGGTTCAATACCTCCAAGAATGGTTTTGTTTCCTTGGGTGATATCTGGTTTACCAGGGACGGCACTTGGGACAGCACCACAAACTCCTCAGTCTTCACCTTTAGCGCAGAATCGCCAAAAACTGTTACCTCAAATAAGTCACGAACCGTTTGCTGCAAGAGAAAGACAAAATAATCTCATCAGATAATAATAATCCTTGCATTTGATATAGCACTTTTCACGTCTTCTAGACGTCTCAAAGCTCGTCACAGAAATATACTGTAAAGTGAGTTGACTGTATATTCGTGGGCGAAACGCGGCAGCCAATTGCGCACAGCAGTGTCTTCACAAACAGCCGTGGATTGAAGTGACCAATTATTTTTTATTGGTTTTTTTTTTCTTGAGGGATTATTATTGGGCGTGTGGAGTAAGGAAACTTGCTCAAAGTTTCGCTTGTCGGGAATCGAACCCAGGTCTCTCGCTTGCGAGGCGAGTGCTCTAACCACTGAGCTACAGATTCACTTATGTAGTTAATCCTAGATGTGATGAAAGCCAACACAAGCTAACAATGACAGATTTTCCATGCATTATTTGTTTTTTATGTGGCATGTATAATAATTGTTCTTCCAGGTCATTTTCTAGATAATTAATAAGATTAACAAGCAAGACGCTGTCGACATTTAAAGTGATCACCCACAAAACCCAGTCATGAGATTACAACTTTGCAATTACTCCTATTTGAAATATCCTCTGAGCAATTTTGGTTAGTGTTTGGTTCATAGTTTTATTTGTGGCAAAAGCTGGCTGGCACTATTGATAGTTCGGCTCTTCATGCACAACGTCAAAGAGGTAGAAGAGGATATGAAACAGTTCTGGTTTCACCACAAGAGCCATAGTACAAACCAATCTCAGCTGAAGAACAAACACATAACCATACAGGCTCTGTAGCAGTTATTGTGGTTCACTGTGTACCACAAGCGAAAGAGAAGATTCTTAAAAGAGCAATACCCCTGAAGGGCTTCCAAAGTTCAACCTATTTCTAGGCAGCATAGGAACATGGGGTGACATTTCCGATCCTCTGATGGGAAGACAAGCCAATAATGCTATTTGCTGAAAGTTAGAATTGTTTCTAGCAAAATAACAAAGCTCTTAGATCAACCCAGAACCAATACATCCTTGTGACAGGCTACACACCTGTTGTAAGTAAGCCATAGAATAGTTGCTTCCTTGCAAAGCCACATCTCGGATCAAATTCTTTGTGCCATTCTTGAGAAGCTTCTCCTCAATAGAGTTGCCACTGACGAGTCTGGAGCAGGATATAATTACAGAATGTTAACAGGCGATCGACATTTAATCAAATAAATCTCAACTCCAAATTGATTCGTTTTATCTTGGAACACTGTGGATTCCTCAAAAAATAACAGGGCGGAATATATATTGCTGGCTTTGCAAAAGGCCTTTTTTTTTAAAGTACCTGTATATGTGGATATCTTTACAATTTCCTATTCTGTCGCACCATTCCTGCACCTGCCCATCCAGAGTTGGGTTCAAGTCACCGTCATAAACGACCACAGTATCTGCATCGACAAGATTGACACCCACCGCAGCACTGCGGGAGCAGAGAATGGCACAGAAGATGCGCTTATCTGTATTAAAACGTTTCATCAGTGTCTGCAAAGAAAAAATAACTTGCATGAATTGGAAAATTCAACAGTTACACTACGCTTCCAATTGTAAGGAAAGAGCGAAGCTGAAGGAGTTTAAACAAATTGCTAACTCTTGTGGAAAGGCACTAAAGATATCTGATTACACACAAACTTGACTTTTGGTGTAGGAAAACCGACTTTCAGGAGACACAATCTAATTAATCTCAGAGACTACTGCTTTTTGTTCACTTCCCAACTTTAAAATGCACCATTCTTCTTCATATTAAATGTCACTTGTCACTTTCGTATTCAGATGATTGTTTGATTTACAAACATTTTTCAGTACCAAGATTTGGTTTCCATTTACAGTTCACTGTTGATTCCTATAATTCTGTGAATTTTACAGTCCCATCGGTCAAAACCGAGTTTTTTTTTAAATGCAGGTTAGATATTTGTGAATTAAATTGTTAACCCACAATGCAGGCCCCAGAGAATACAAATCGATTCTTGCTGGGGAGGGAAGAGGCTTTTTAATCTACCCCAACACAATGTCAGTACACAAGATTTTGTTGCTTGTGCCCATAGTAAGGTTGGGGATGCTGACACATGAAACAACAACAAATTACATTTACATAGCACCTTTCACGTCAGTGAGGACGTACGAAAGCACTTTCCCTGCCACAGTAATTAGTCTGAACAGGAATCAATAGACTTGCTCCTGAGCACAATACAAAACATACCTGTCGCTGAGAAAGGTGCGTATTCCCATCAATCCTCACAAAGACAAAACGATGGTAATCCAGGAAGCTCTCGAGAATGTCCAGCATTCGAACCATTTGTGTGAAGACCAACACACGGCGCGCTTCAGATCGGAGTTTTTGGAGCAGAACAGCCAGGGCCTCCAGCTTCCCTGCAACAAGGTAACAAATGCTGCAGGAATCTGACATTGGAGTTATTCTGCTTAGTGATGACAATTCCCAATAAGCTTCAAAAGAGCCTTAATTCAGCCTAATTCAGCGTGGTTTTCTAATCACTGATTCCTTCCACTCGCCCAATCGAGAACATAATGCTTCAAACTCAAACGCTTAACACTTAACGGTATGGTTTACGGAATAAAAAGATATTTTGCGAGGGGATAAACACTTGTTTCACTAACCTGAGTCAAACTGTACAAGCCTCGGGTCAGATAACTGTAGCACTGCTGTTGCTGCAATGTGCGGCCTGTGTTGATGGTATGGAGCCAGCTCTTGCTTAAGGTTATGATTAAATAGCCTTGTCTTGTGCGTGTACGTAGGTGGCGGGTTAAAGATATACAGTCTCGGAGGAAGAACCACCACATTTGGAATCACACATTGGATGCTATAGAAGGACAAAGCATTGGATTGTGTGAATGGGTGTCTTAAAATTGGCTCCGTGCTCCGCCACTGTCAAGCACTCGGGGACGCTACCCTGTGTGAGGGGCGCTATATAAATGCAAGTTGTTGTTAAAGTAGTGCTACTTCTTTTTATTAGTGACCACAAGGAAAAGTTTAGTTTGCAGTCTGATGATGAGATACATTTCTACTAACGCAGAAATTTTGTTCCGACAAGAGCAATCGTATGTGAATTTCCTTTCAGCTTTCGTGAACTCTTGTCAAAACAACTGGGACCCTGGTGGGGGCAAGAATCAGATAACTTTATGAAAGTTTTGTTGTGAAAATTCAGTGGCATTCTCCAGGGAAAATCCTAAAATTTAATTTTAAGCAAAACGACCTTGTTTTGTGTCTGAGTCACAACTGTATTCCAATAGAAATTGCACCTAAAAATTAAGTAACTACCAGTCGACTTACCGATTGAACTCATACAAGATTTCGCCCACAAATACACAGTCAATTCACTTTAGAGTATATTCTGTGCAGCGCTTTGAGACGTCTCAAAGATGTGATGAGGCGTTACATTAAATGCAAGGATTATTATTATATTATTATTATAAGGGCTCACCTCTGAATGACATTCCGCAGAGAGCTGTACCTCTGATCAAATGACCGGATTGTGCTGGACAAAGACTCGGTGTGATTCCAGGACCCCTCCGGGAAGGTGTCAGCATCAGGTTGCTGCACGCTGCAGCAATTCACATAGCCGGACCAGCCCCACCAGTGTAATGTTGGTTTCGATTTCGGAAGCTTATATTCACCCATCATAAAACAGATGCCCAAGAGTTCAGTACCGTAAACAGGCTTCACAGAGCTTCGGCGCTCATTGATTACAAATATCCGGTCTAAGCGTTCCTTCGTAAGTCTTTTCTTTTCTTCTACAGAGTCCTACATGACAAAAAAACGCTGTGATTAAAGAACAAATACATTCGCGTACCGAACATTTCTTGAATTATTACACTTTAACCAGAATTGAGCTGACTCGGAATGGTTCGGGGTAGGTTACTATACCTAGGAAAGCAGTCTAGCTTTTTCCTGCCTTAATGTACTAAACTCCATCAGCCCCACAGCAAACTATGGGAGACATTCATGACTCGCAACAAGTCATCAATGACTACCGTGCGGGGAGCCAATGCTGTTCACAACATGGTCGTCATTAAATTGCAATACGCCTGATGTTGCACTGCGTAAAACAAGAACTGCTCCTGTCTTCACCAAATCAGTGATTAACTGCACGCAGCCCATCAGCCACAAGGGAAATGAGCACCATAAGAATTGGCTTACTCAAATAGCAGGTCAGACAATTAGACGCTAGGATGAAAAACACACACATACACTGGTACAAACCACACAGGTACCGGGTACAAATCATGGGTTCAAACACCCGGTACAGAAAGAATGGTCAAATCCTTTTTTTCCTAAAAGCAAAATAAAATATCCCAACCAGCAGCCCCAATTATAGAGAGATTATCATATTTTTTACGTTCAGTGTTTTAACTTTTGAATTTTTTGAAAACAATCACTCGGTTTGCAAATATTCAAAACCATGCCCTTTGCAGCTTGCTGTTTTTGTACATTAGTCTGTGACTGTTCAGAACGAAGTAATAAATACCAGTGCAGCAGATCCAAGAGAAGGCTTTGAGGGTACTCCTTGGTCACTTGGTGCTGAGAGGGTTCTGCTTGTGATAAATGATGCTGGAAAACAAACAAGATGTTTCGGATTTCCACCGCATTAACCATCAGCACATATAGAATGGCCACAGAATCAGCAGCATTTAACTACATCTCTTTATGCAACCATTTCAGCATTCCTGACCAAACCAACTATCATCTGACTTCATCAGGATCTTCATTCATATTCTTTGTTCATGTGGATTATTATTATTATATTTCATCAAAACACAAGGTGTTCCACCTTTGTCTGTGTTGAGCGGCAAGAAATTGAGGTTCATCGAGACCTCAATGTCTGACAGGCAGTCGGACAGAACATCAGTGGACCTAGAATCAAGAGTCGAATTGGAATAGATTTGGATGTTATCACATACATGTGAAGGTTAAATCTGTTAGCAGATGATGTCACCAAGAGAGAGCATGGAAGGAAAAAGCTGAGGACAGAGGCCTGACATATTCCACAGGTGACAGTGAGAGGGTGGAGCAAAGGGTGAAGCAAAGTCAAATGATGGACCAAGTAGAATTGTAATCAGGAGAGTGCAGTGTAACAGAGGTGGTTAAGAAAGGAGATTGAGTAGGCTGGAGTGGTTAACACCATCAAAAGCAGCAGCGAGGACAAGGAGAACAAGCAGAGGGAGTTCTGGACATAGAAAGAGAGTACGTCATTGGTGGCGTTGATGAGGACTGTCTTAATGCTGTGGATGTGTACTGAGTTCAAGCAGGGAGTTGTCGTAAAGGTGAGAACGGAGCTTGAGTGATTTGATTTGATTCGAATTGAATAGGAAGGGCTGGTTGTAGTTGGGTCGACAATTGTAAAAAAAATATCCATAAAGCAAAACATTCCTCTCGTCCATCTCACTCAGCTTCTCCTTTCCCTCTGACTGGTATTGTTTCATTGTTTCTTCCGTTCTGTTGCTTTGTCTTTAGGGTTTTTTCCATCCATTTTCCGTTGCTGTATTTCCAGTGTTGGAAGACTCCACTTTGACTCCTCACACTGAGGGCAATGTGCTTGCAAGTGGCTGTTACGCCAGTCTCACGCAACCCAATGATCTGGTGAATTCTTTTTTTTACACACACAAAGGAACTATTTCATTAGTTTATTTGGCACAGCTACCATAGCTCACCAGATGTCAACACTCAACACCAAACCTATCACTTTAGCCATTTAATGCTACCACCAGTTGTGGTCCAACGTAGGTCTGGTTGGTGGCCGTCTACAGTCTGGAGTCCAGTCACTCCTCTATTACAAAGCAGCCCCTTGGTCTTCCTCCTTCATGTTGCCAACACAACAAGATGCAGTGAAATTCTCTCCCTGTAGCTGCAGCACACTGGCCAATAAGCAAGTGTCAGGATCGGAATCACTGCTTCCTGACTGTTTAAATGGCCCCAAAGAATGCTCACAGAAAGAAAGTCTTTCTTACATGAAAGGCAAATTGTTGTGATCACAGCAATATCAGTCTAGCAAGAGACAGCGAGTATTACCAGCTCACGACTGACTGACAGTACTGTTCTCTTAATTCACGGTTTAAATACTGGGTCACAATGCAAGCCAGGTGATCATATACTGTACATCTCTTACCTGGTGTAGATGTGGCAATAGAACTTGATGCAATCCCGTGTTGGTTTCCTAATGCAGCAGATGCACTGTGGAGTGCGTTGCCTGCATTGGCATGCGATGGTGATTGCATCACTACTTGACCTTGTTGACGCACAATTTGTTGGCCAGGTGCCGAAACAATTTGCAGAACATTACCTGGGGGTTTTATAAAATGGTGAAATGGTGATTCTATTACATGCAACAACCAGTATAATTCCAATTGGCATTCACTACTGCAAACTTCCACTCCCCGTATACACACGAGACACGCACACGCACGCACCACATACCCATGTACCACACGCACGCACCATACACACGCACACGCAAACCAAAAATGCATTTTTGGCTGAGAGTGTAACTTTAGTTCAACCGTGGTACTGAAATTCCAGAGCGAGAGTGTGGAGGTAAGAATGGAGATCCGAACAATTGGAAAGACATTCAGGTTTTACTCCAGTTGTCATTGGCTAATGTTTGCGTATTGTTTAGGGACTGCAAATGTTGATTATAATTGTAATTTATAATCAAGACCTCCATTTAAGACAGTATCCGATGAGCAAATGGAACCAGTTATCATTTCATATAAATAGATACCTTCACCACACATTAAATATTCCCAAAGTGCTCTATTGAGATTCATTAGCAAATTAAGTGTTGCTGATTTAAGAATTTTACTGTATCTTGTTTGTTTGCTAATTGAAGCAAATATCATGATTTCCCTTCTTAGAGGCACTGATCTTATAATCCCTGGTATTGGGTCAATTCAGGTGTTGCATGTACCTTGTATCTGAAGATGCTGTCCTGCAGTAAGCTGCCGTAACTGACTGCTGGACAGGGTAAACTTGTTGCCTTGGAAGTGCAGTGTAACCGGCTGACTGGTCTGTGTTCCCCGGCCTTGGCCACCAGCAATGGAAGCGAGTTGACCTATGCTGACGACTTCTCCTGCTGTAAGGAAAAGATAAAAAACTGAGTGTACAAAATCATGCCGTTCACTCTGGTGCTGAAGTAAATCTGAGGCCCAAGAGCTACTCATGTAAGATTTTCTACACATGTCAGAGGGTTGGTTATACAGGAGGGCAAAGTGAAATCAATGTGAAAACCTGGGCAAGGCATTAAAATACACAGCCAGCTGACTGCGGCACTTACATCAACAATGATCGTCAGCAGTTAGTGTTTTGTAGCAACGATAAATGAGTACAAATAATATTAAATCATTCCCTCTCAATTTGCCACATAATTCCCTTTATTATATGTAGAGATAAAAGGGACCCATTACGATGTGTATGATGGTTATATTAATGAAATATGGCACTAAGTGTAAAACCACAGAAAGGGGAACTGTTTAAACATTTGACGAGGACAAATATGAAAGGTACAGTAAAGAGCAGACCTCCGACATTATACCTCAAGTTACCCAGGTTTTAACGGGAAGAACCCAAACTTATTAAATTGCAGTAGTCACATAATCAAATCAATCTGATTTAAAAACATTGTCATAAATGGCAAATGCAAATCCCTTCTTTTATATACAAAGAAAACACAAAGCAAGTTAGTGTTTCACAGAACGTACTATGCTTTTATTTGGATATCTACATTCATATATGGCTGCACCCACTTTTGAAAGCCAAACCACGTGTAGTGTACGTTTTACACTTCGCGTGTAAAACATACCCTTCAAAACTAAGTTAAAATTGAACTTCGTAAAACATAGTAGTTTAACCTTAAATAAACTATACTATGAAATAAATGGAAAATTGACATCTGCTTGCTTGAAAACGATCCCTCAAGTCTTTGCTACTTTGAAAGACTTCAGCAGCTATTGGGAAGACAATGTGCGTCTAAAAGAAAAGCATCATTTCAGTGTTCGGTGTTGGAAAGGCATGTTAGAGAGGCAAGCGATGACGGACAGTGGAGCAGAGGTCAGGCAGCCTTGGTAAAGCCACAGTTCAACTATAGGAAATCTCGGCAGATGGATTAGTACTTTATGAAAAAAGAGATTTGGGTAATAGGGGACAACAAAGAGAATTAAAACTATCTGTTTGTGTGGACAGAATCCTGCTGGCAAGAAATGAGTGAGTCATGCAACAGTGACAGTGGGAGGTTTAGCGATATCGGAGGCCACTTACTAGGCAAGCGTGCCTGGGCCTGAGAGGTCAGCACCAGCCTCTGATGCAGCACATTGGTTGTTGGGACGTTGTGGCTGGAGGCCTGTTGCTGGGCCTGCGAAGCTGCCTGTCCCTGCTGGGTGCTGCTCAGGGCTGTGCTAGTGGCACTCGTGCTGTTGACCGTCTGCTGTTGTCCTTGTACACTGGCAGGGGTTGGAGTCATCTGAGACTGCGTTGCTGCTGCAAATGACAAGGGTTTGTTTGTGCAGCGTTACACCAGAGACTAAAGCAAGATCACAGTTCATATTCGATTCTTTGAAAACTTTATCCAGGCCCAAAAGCTTCAAATACTCTTTCTCATTAAAAACATGATTGTCGGGAAGAATAAACAGTTCTACTCACCAGAATGTATACATTAACTAGTTGGTCCCTCAAAAGAAGTCACAGTAATAAACCCAAGCCTTCAAAACATTCAGTGCAAACTCTCATTCAAATTAATGTTTTATATACTATAAAATGTCTTTCTCATCGCTGCATTAAGTGGTAATTTTCAGCCCCCAATGATCATCTAAAATAAGAGGGCTGAGTAAGAAACTCCAGAGAGTAGAATATCTTTTACTGTGGCTACAAGTTAGTAACACAGCTGTGCTATCAGTGCACGCAGAGGTTGAACTAGAAATGTTGCAATAGATCCCAATTCTTGACAGCTGCAAAGCATCGAGAAACCTGAGAGAGAAGCCGCAGTGAAACATGCACTGAGATGGGAATTGTGCGGCTGGTAGCTACACTTCCCTAACACACTTCTGTTTCCCAGGATATGCTGCTGATCCTGGCATGAGAACAACAACTTGCACTTACATAGCGCCCTCCATGCAGGGTAGCGTCCCAAGAGCGTTTAACAGTGGCGGAGACTGACTCCGAGCCGGGGGAGGGGGGAGGTGGCCGTAAGCACGGTTAAAGAGTAAAGCTTTCAGGTGGGACTTGAAAGAGGGGAGAGACAGAGGGATTGAGGGAGAGCATTCCAGAGTTTTGGGGCTTAGTGGGTGAAAGTGCGCCCTCCCGATGGTGGGGCGGAGGGTGCGAGGGACGAGCAGGAGGCCAGAGATTTGGGTAGTAAGGGACAACAAAGAGAATTAAAACTATCTGTTCGTGTGGACAGAATCCTGCTGGCAAGAAACGAGTGAGTCATGCAACAGTGACAGTGGGAGGTTCAGCGATTATCGGAGGCCACTTACTAGGCAAGGCCACTTGAACACAAACCCTTCGGTGTAATGGCGTAGAGTACCTTAGATTCAAAGGAACTTAAACTAAGCGTATAAAGTGCAGGGTGTTTGCCTTGCATTTAGGCCACCTGCTGGTTACAGAGGGCATCAATCACCCTCTCAGACTCTGTTCAGAACATGCAGAGTGAGAGATGCAGGGAAAATACATCCCTTCCTCTCACAACCGTAAACGTTTCTTGTGGAGGAAACGCTAGTTCTGACAAGTAAAGTTTGAAATACCGTCTACAGGAATTTGTGCGCACAAAACATCTTTCTCCCGAAGCGCTCCTCTGTCCAGGGAGCAAAATAGTTTCGTCCCGCGGAGCTAAACATAGCACTCGGGAGCAATGTTTGTATCTTTAGCGTAGCGCATCGATATCTCAACATAATGGGGTCGTATCGATCACTTCAATAACTATGACTGTGTTATACCAATTCATACAAGAAAGTAGCATGTTATAACATGGCACGCTCTGCACCCTCATTAGTTCCTGAATTCATCGACCAAATGGCCGGACACACAACATTCTCCAAAATAAAGCTCAAATGTTTTCCCACCTTCTGTCAGTATTAGACACCACGAAAAAGACTCCGCAAGAGAAATAGTTCAAACGTAACACAGTTAAGCGTGGGAGAGTTAGAAATGAAACTTTGCTGTTTATAGAGATCTTAAAAACAAAATGACATTAGGTGAAGTTTTTTATTCTTACCCTGGCCAGGAGCTGCTGACATAGCCACCCCGGGAGGCTTGCCACGTGCCGAGACATGGTGTGTGGCAATAGATGAGGCAGTGTTTGCTGTACGCTGTGGGTGAGCACTGACCATTACAACAGTCCTATCATCAGGTTTCTGGCCGTACTGCACTGGATGAAACAACCTGTACACAGAAAAGTCCAAGTAAACTTTAGCTTCACTCTGGCATTTTATAACTGCATTAATACTGGAAAGTGGGCCACAATGACCCCTATATTGGAGAGGCTGGCTACAATGGATATTATATTCCCTTGAATCAAGTAGGTTAAGGTGATAGCTGATTGAGGTGTAAACCAATTAGCAGAATAGACAAACTACATAGGAGATGACTCTTTATTCCCCACAGGTGAGAAAAGGGGTAGAAAAATCCAAAACACAGGACCTTAAATTTAGAGCTAAACCAATTGTAAGTGAAATAAGAAAGATTTCTTCACAGAGGGTTCCTTTGTTCTTAAAACATAAATGATTAGATTATTCGATGCTCAGATTATAAATGGGTACATTATCACAAACTTGGAAGACAAGTTAATTCGTTATATGTATTTTGCGAAAATACTGGTTCCTACAGTTTGCTTTCATCATTAATTATGCGCAGCCAAATCTAAGTTTTGCTTCTTGGCTGAATTATTAATAATAATAATTAAAATGTGTTGTTGCTTTGGGACCAGTGAAGGTAATAACTGCATGCAATGTGTGAAGCTATCACATACTTGCTAACTTTCATTTTAACTGGCTTGGGTCTGGGTGGAAGATCTGGAGAGTTGTAGATTTCCTCAATGAGCTTCCTGGTCACCTTGCGTAGAGGTACTCCCACCTCTGACTCGTAGCGAGGCCTTTTATTCTCAATTCCAGACAGGTTAAATATGGACATATCTACATTCTAAGGGGAAAACATATTCATTAGTTAAGTAATAATAGTCCTTAAACATTTGATATAGTGTCTTTCATATCTAGAGGACATCTCAAGGAGCTTTGCACGTTACTGAAAGGCGTAATGATTATGTATTTTGTAGGCAAGCATGGAAGCCAATTTTGCACACTGCAATTTTCCACAAACAGCATGAAGCGAATGACCATTTATATCTGGGAAACTGTTGGCCCGACATAGGGAGAAACTGCCTTCTCTTTCGAATAGTGTTATGGTAGTCTTTTATGTCTACCTGAGCTGGCAGACAGAACATCAATTTGCCTTTTCATCTGAAGCACAGCATTTTCACTACAGCAGCATTCCCCCTGGACTGGAGCGTCAGCCTAGACTGAGCTTAGAGTAAAGTCCCAATACAGAGGTTGAACCCACAACCTTCTGACTCAAGAGTTATATGTTGCACTACCAACAAAGCCAGGTTGACATCTTTAACATCATACAAGCAGGCAAAAACATTTAACAAATGCTTCCAGAACTCACCTTCCAGTATCATACTCAAGTGCTTTCAACACGAGCGAGGCAGTCGAGTAATGCAATTGCTCACACACAAAACTGGAGCGCACACACCTGGTACTGACCAGGTTAGGATGGTTACAGATTTTTCGTAGCTGAATTAGTGCATTCAGAACACTTATAAATCGCCCAGTCCTCAGAGCTTCTCTCGTGCTGGTGACACAAAACATTATAAAAATAAGCATTAGGTAAGAAATAACTAGCTTAGAAACGCTAATAGATTTTACTGAAAGGACAGTTGAGAAACATACAGATGAGAAAATATAAAACTGAGATTTGTACAATTTTTNCTAATCAGCTGCTACGGATTTCTATCTTTAGTATGAAGTAGACAAAATCGCAACCTGACCCACATACTCCTCACAGGACTGGAACCCTAGCACGCGGACTGGAGCAATCTACTCTAATCCCATTCTCCTGCACTCCCCCAATTACTTTTTATATTTTTTTCCTAGTTACTTGTCCAATTTCCCTTTAAGTACTGTTATTCTTTTATGGTCTTGGATCTAGAAAACACACACGATTGAAACAATTTTCTAAAAATTAAATTACATCTACCTGGTTTGGGACATGACATCTTCATACAGATTTCTCTGCCGCTTGGAAAGACAACATTTCAGAATGTGCTCGTATTTCTTCGGAAGCTGTTTCTCCACATCTCTTTTTGATCGTCGTAAAATGAATGGTTGGATCATCTAAAAATGACACACAAATTAGTTTGATTTCTACACGTTTTACATCATTTACTGCAAATCAAAGAAACACAACGGTTCCAGGAAATGGCTGAAAATAGCAATAAACCAGGGAGAATGGCCTATACCTCACAATGCTTTTTATCCTGTAGGCTTGCCCCCTCCTTCCCTATCTTCAGATCTCGCTCTTCCTCTTCGACCATGCCTACGGTCACCTCTCCGATCCCCCCAGCTCAGCATCGTGCTCCGCCACTGTCAAGCGCTCTGATACGCTACCCTTTGTGAGGGGCGCTATGTAAACTAGGATGGGGGAGGTTCATATGAAGTGTAAATACTGGGATAGACTACTTGCTTGAATGATCTATTTCAGAGCTAAACAGACCATGTCATATATGTCATAATGTGCAATGTACTGTACTATTTCCTAAATCTTTCCTCCATCTTAGGATCCCCACTCCATCCATCACCAAACAGTCCAGTGAAATCACAGGATAATGTTGCATTACACAGTTATTTGTGCCAACGACCAACTTCCCCACATGCATTTGCTTTACATAACACTGTGCGTACCCTGTGCATCCTTATCACCAATTTGTGGCAATAGTCCTGGTTTTCATCTGTGCCGGTTTTCACTGGGAAATCCAGGTAATGCCTAGAAATTCCAGGCATCAGAAAATGCATCATGGTCCACAGTTCCATCAGAGTATTCTGCAAAGGAGTTCCAATGAGAAGCAGCCGCTGTTGGCTAAAGAGAAATTAGGAAAACATTACTAAATAAATAACTATGAGTGTTTTATAGATAAGTAAAACATGTAATGTTGAATTAATCAAACCCTGGATAATGATCTGAACAATCAGGTCCATGAAGTACCCACGGAAATCTGAAGCATAGTATATGGATTGTATAAGGTGTAAAGTTTTCCCCAGTGTTAGAGTGGGGATTTAAGAGCGACTACTATATAAGCTTGTGCTCTTGAAACTTGCCAAGGGAGCAAAGTAGGGTGGGCAAAATTGAGACAATCAACTTCTGGTGTTTCTAGTTCACTGTAAAATGAAATGAATGTTAGTCCAACCTCTTAAGATTAAAGAAAGCCTCCCAGTGTCGCTCAGTTGTATTCCGAAGTTGTTGAACCTCATCCAGTACCAGGTATTTCCACCTCTTCTTGACAAAGGCCTGATGGTCTTTCAGTAGCAACTTATACGAAGTGATACACACATGGAAGGAATTGGGCTCCATCCAGCACTAGAAACAAAAAAAACTCACATTTGGATTTGCGGTTGACCTAGATTTATTTACCAGCTGGCATATTAATAGACCTTTTAAAAGAACAACTCAAATACTAAAGGCTACAAAATTGCCAAGTATATATTTTAAATAGAGTAGGGCAATACAATGCTTACTGACCAACCCCCAATACACTCAAGATCAGTTTGCACCTTTTTGGCTTTATTTTCTCCCCACTCTAAACTGGGGATTTCAAATCAGGAACAGTTACACACATTTCAGACCAACACTGAATGTTGGCATTATCAGCTTGCACTTTGAGACACCAGAGAAGCAAGCAAAAGCTAAGGAAGCAGGCTTTGATTTACATTCAGTTACCTTTCCTTTCCCACTTCCCCAATGTACTGAGATCCATCCCAATATTTTTCTCAACGGTAGAGTAACCATGAAAAAGGGCCAGCAGCAAAGCTGTCCGACACTAAGACGCATCTAAAAGCCTCTGCCTTTGACAGGGGAGATCGTAGAAACAAACAGCAATTTTTTTGTTCAATGACTGTTGAGGTATAAAAATGCTACTTCCATCATTGTGCCCCAACCCCCTCCAAAGAATTGTGGAGACAATGTAGAAGTGGCAGATGAAGCACAAGTTGATACTGTCTACAGTTTAACACAAAACAATAAATTATATTTACACAGCACCTTTCACGTTGCGAAGACGTCCCAAGGCGCTGGACAATCAGGGATTTGGGCCCGATTAGGGGGTTGGGATCAGGAGAGGTGGAGGACAGGGAGGGGTAAGAGGGTGATCAAAGGCGTGTTCAAAGAGGAGGGTCTTGAGATTTGCCTTGAAGGGGAAAAGGGAGAGAGCATGATGGAGGGACTGTGGGATGGAGTTCCAAAGAGTGGGTGGGGCAGAGAGGCTGACGTCCATGCTGCTAGAGCCACAAACTCCACATTAAAGGTGTGGGCCTCAAACAAATCTATGAATGAGGAAAGCTGCTCAGCAGAAACTCCTCTGGTCCATTACACGTGTCACGTTACCTCTCTCTTGCCTCTTCGTTCTTTCCTTGTGCCAAAATACATCATAATCTTTAGTCCTGGGCACCACCGCTTGAATTCCATTTCCCAATCGAGCATCTTACACGTACGTACCACAACAAGGTGCGGGCCCCAGATGCCTTGGACAAGCGAATACAGAGAACATCATTGAATTATAAAGCACATTTGGTACAAGACTTTTTATTTCTTTTAAAAAACAAGAGCAATACATAATATAATCATTACAAAAGGATTTTTGCATCAGTCTTCAATATCAAACGTATGGCTCAGTTGGCAGCACTCACTTTTGGGGGAAGGCGTGCTCCGAGACGCTACCCCACATGAAGTGCGCTATGTAAATGCGGGGATTCATTGTTGTAGAGGATGTGGTTTCAAGCCCCATGTCGGTCCACAGCGACACTACAGTACTGGGAGCAGCCGCTTTGTCCGGTGTGCAGTCCTTTGGATGAGATATTGGATGGGGGAGGAAGAGGCTTCAACAACAACAATTTACAGCTGTATAGGGCCTGTCACGTCAGGAGGACGTCCCAAGGAGCTGGACAGTCAAGGATCCGCACCCGAGCTGGTGATCAGGAGGGGTGGAAGTGTAGGAGTAAGAGGGTGACTGCAGGCACGGTCATAAGAACATTAGAATTAGGAGCAGGAGTAGGCCATTCAGCCCCTCGAGCCTGCCCCACCATTTGATAAGATCATGGCTAATCTTCAGACCTAACTCTAATTACCTGCCCTATCCCCATATCCCCTAATCCCTCTATTTTTAAAAAATCAGTCTCAGCCTTGAAGATGTTCAAGGACTGAGCATATACAGTCTTCTGGGGTAGTGAATTCCATAAATTCACTACCCTCTGAGTGAAGAAATGTTTCCTCAACTCTATTCTAAAAGGCTGACCCTTAATTTTAAGACTGTGACCCCTGGTTATAGATTCTCCTACCAGGGGAAACAGACCCTCAGTGTCTACTTTATCAGCCCTTTAAGAATCTTATGTTTCAATAAGATCTCCCCTAATTCTTCTGTACTCTAGAGAATATAGCCCTAGTTTATTCAGCCTATCCTCATAGGTCAGTCCCCTCATCCCAGGAACTAACCGAGTGAATCTGAGCTGCACCCCCTCCAGAGCAAGTATGTCCTTTTTTAAATAAGGAGACCAAAACTGCAAACAATACTCTAGGTGCGGTCTCACCAGGGCCCTATACAGTTGCAGCAAGACTTCCCTACTCTTGTACTCTAAACCTTTTGCAATGAACGCTAACATGCCGCTTGAAGAGGAGGGTCTTGAGATGGGTCTTGAAGGAGGTAAGAGAGGGGGAGTGGCTGAAGGGCTGCGGTATGGAGTTCTAGAGGGTGGAATTTATTATTTGAAGTAGCATACGCTTACATTTCAGCCCTGATATGGTTTCAACAGAAAAACCCACCTTCATTGCAAGCAAGGTGAGCTAGAAATGCAATGATCTGCACAGTCTTGCCTAATCGAGTTTCGTCTGCCAAAATTCCATTTAACTTTCTCCTGTTGAGCGAAGCCAGCCAGTCCAGCCCCACCTGCTGGTACTCCCGAAGGCTTCCGTGGAGCAGGAGAGGGGTTGAGCTTTTCACCTTTCCAAAAAAATAAAGTAGATAAGACAATTTGGTCTGTGTTTTAAATAAATCACTGCATCTCTCTGCTTTAACTGGATTTCAAATGCATGTTAATAAAAATAGTTCGTGGAATCTTTGTCTCATGAGAACAAGCAGCCCAGAGCATTACCAGAGCTGTACAGCGAGCTAAGCCCTTTGGAGAAGCAACTCAGCAGCACCAGCAACTTCTGCAATGTCTTTTCTTGGCCTCTTCCCTTCAGATGGACCTGTATTTAGTCTCTCTGCTCCTCGATACTGGTCTACACTAAGCAGCGAGTCGATCGTCACGTCTTGCTCTGGATGAGCCAGATCAGCATGAAACTCTTCTTCCAATTCTGCAACAGAAATTCCACATTCAATTTAATTACACAAGTTCTGCATTCTGTTTGCATATACTTGAGCATTAAGTGATACATTAAATATGAGGTTAATTTTATTCGAATAAGTAATGAATAAGTAATGAATTATTCCGAGATCACCAATTAGTTTTAAATTGGTTCAAAATATCCTCAAAGGCTTAAACAGCGCAGAGTACGGCATCTGTATTACACACCTTCATCAACCTCGTCATAATCATCATCTTCACTGTCAAGTGATTCTGCGCCAGGCCAGGCAAAGGTTTCAGAATAAGCACCAGCATACTTTTGAAGCAAGTCTTCCAGGGGAATTTCAGCTGTGAACAAGTCAAGTTATAACATCGAAGAATTACAACTCGGTGTTTGTCACTTTCTTAATCGAGATCAATAAAGTAAACCTGCTGTCTGTAATCCATTGTGCCCCCTCTGCACCTTCTCCATGTGTCTTCTCCCCCAGTTTCTAATCCCAAGTGCCCTTTCCCAGTTTCTGTCACATAAACATAATCACCCGATGACCAACGTGGGCCTGAATGCGGAGTCTGTTGCCTTGTAATTATAGTTTAGGTCTCTATGATTCAAATATATCACTATAGAATCAAGCAAACTAAACATTGGTTGAAAATACTTATTTCTTACATGTTTTTCAGTCAGACCTTATCTTTTCAAACACTGAATTGAGTCTGAAGCGTACCTTCTTTAGCCAAATCCGACAGCTCAGTTTGATGGTCAACGATTCCTTCAGCAGCTTCCTGTTCCTCCATGGTTTCTTCACAGTCTTCAACTGAAGAAGTCATGCATTATTTTATTTTACATTAGCTTACAGGCAGACCAAATGTTCATTAATGAGTGACTATGAACAACAAACCTTCTTCCCCAGCAGTCCCGTCACTAGGCAACGACACACTGGCTTTTCTTTTGTTTTCATTGCTCGATATTTCCTACAAATTAAAAAAGTGTCCTACATTAAAAATGCACCATGTGATACCCTGACGTTTTATTTAGATGAAACATCATATTCTAGCCAGTGTAATATAGAAATGATCAATTTGAAAACGTACCTCACTCTCCTTTTCTGATTTGCCCCTTGAAGATCCTGAAAATATTACAAATGCGGTACTCACTCAATGATGCAAGGTTTAAAGCCACTAAATAACAATTTAAAGGATGAAACATTGTTTTGCACAGAATGATTGGAGTCAGTTAGAAGCTACGTTTCTGACCTCTGCTGGAGGACTCCTTGCGGACAGTTAGTGCTCGTCTCCGCTGCTCTTCCATATAGAGCTGCAGTTTGACTTCTACAACCTGGAAAGAAAGCCCAGAACTTTAGCGAAAAAATCTAAATGATTTAAAAACTCAATGGTCCATCCTGACTTGGACATACATCGTCATTCCTTCATCACCACGGGAGTCAAAATCCTATAACTCTCTGTCCAATACCATCACAGGAGCATCACCGCGAGGACTAGTGGTAATAAAGACAAGGCCTTAACAGCAGCCTTTCAGGACAACTAGGAATGGGCAATAAATGGTGAACATCAACATTGTCCACATCCTGGGATGAGTGCAAAATAAACTTGCAGTGACAGCACAGATGTTACGTTGCTACGTTGCAAAAAAAAAATTTGCAAATTAAAAAAAAACTTTCTGAAGGTTATTGTCATCCCGAAGGAGGTTATTATCACAACAGGCAAGTCAATTATCATCGTAATAAAGGACAGTCGTTTTACGCACTCAAGAGTTATTTAAATTGACGGGTTATTAAAATTAGGCAGATTGTGGTACCTTACACAGTTTACCTTCTCAATATTATACCAGAAATGCTGCACCTCTCTGGCAATCACAGCGGCTCTTCGTCTCAGTTTGGCACATTGTTCCTTTTTAGCCTTTTCTTCATTCAGTTTCTGTTCTTCATGATGACGTACAACAGTCCGTGCAAGCTGTTTAAGGGAAACAAATCACTTGAGTGCTCTGCAGAATACACAAACGCGCAAAATATATTTCAGGTTTTTCAAAAAAAATTAGGTCCATGAGGACGAGTTGTGGTGAACAGTGCTTTTGGTCTTCAAGGTGGAATTGAAGGGAACACAGGTGTATTGGATCAGACTATTATCCCTCTGTCTCCAACCTCAATCAGTAACCTTTACAACAGCTCAGACATAAATACCTTCTTAGCAATGCCCATCTTCCACTTTCTTTCTTGGGCAAAATCTGTCGCCATCCACTGCATCTCCTCCAACAAGTAATCCCAGTGACACTTTGCTCGTGGAGCTTCCTGTAGCCGAGGTAACCTCCTCACAGACCACAAACCCTCCTTCCTAAGTTCAGCAATTCGTTGATGTATTTGATTTTCCTTTCAATGCAAAAGAAATCATTGATTGTCATGTCTGTTTGAGGGGGATATATGAACTTTCAGATTAATATATTTTGGTTCAATATAAAATAACTACTGCATCAGCAAACGTACGAGGAGATTTCCGCTTCAATCGTCATCAAAAGACAGAACTGCGACTTGCAATCCTGCCTGTAACAGGAGACAAGAAGCCAAGTTACAATCACTAGTCTGCTGCTCTTACCTGCTTCACTTGCTCAACAACCTTGTCTTGGGCACTGGTTTCCTGTGTGCCTGGTGCTGAACTTTGCAATAGCGTTTGTGTTTTTGGTGTTGCTGTGACGGTGAGATTGGTGAGTTTAGGCTGGGCGATTGGTGACATAGGTTTGCTGATTGCTGGAGAAGTCCTGTTAGTCAGGTTCTGATGTGCAGCAGTTGAAGATATTGTCCCTGGAAGGGTCACTTGTGACATGGATGAGGTAGGCTGTGCGTTGGCAATTAGTCGTTGGCATGCCTGGCCAGAATCGCTTGTGGATCGCATTAATGTCATCGTCTATAGAAAAAGAAAGTACACAAAACACCTTCAAATATTTTCCCTCCAGAAAGTCTCCCAATTCTTTCATAAATATCCTTACAATTAGTTGCATTAGAGATAAAAGGGGAGTGGAGTGAAGAGAAGAACAGATATAATTTTTTCTTTCTAAGATCCGCTACTCTAACTATAGATAGTTAAAACAAATGAGTATCTAAACCAAACAGAGTTCCCACCTATACATGGAAATTCAAAGTAGCTAAAACCCCAAAGCTTGCCATTGAAAACACTGTCTGCAAGCTTTCCCTTTGCTTGTCTAGTTAGGAGATATCCTCCTCAGCGGGATTGAAGAACCAGTTCAGACTCTGTTGACCAAGTGGCCTCCTCTGTTCTGTAAATCTCTAGAATTCTATGTTGTATTATCTCCAGGTCATACTCTTCTTACCTGCTGTTGGGAATGGTGTCCTGTTGTGGGCTGGAGTTGTGCTGATGGTTGAGTTTGCATCGGGACATGATGTGAAGCTTGTACTTGTTGCTGCAGCTGAACCTGAAGTTGAGTCTGAGACTGAGGAAACCCCATTGCCTGTGGCTGCAGCTTAACCTGAGCAAGGTTTGAGGCCTGTGTTTGAGCGTGAAGCTGGGTCTGAGGCTGCAACAGCACCTCAGTTTGCTGTTGTGCCAACTGTAGGGAGGCAGGGAGTGATGCCAATGATAGAGCTGAAGCCTGCAGTCTAGCTGGCAGCTGGGGTGGGGGCGTGTGCAAAGTGGCTGCATTTTTTACTGGAGGGCCTTTTGATGGATCATACTGCTGTTGGTTTTGCTTCTGCCCACCGAGCTGTAGGGTTTGAGGAGTTGGAGGCATTCCACCTGAGAAAATACCAAACAAAGAGTCAGCATCTTTTACTTTTGGGGGAGGATTGCTCTAATTTCGGCCACAAAATATACCGTCAATTCATTTTAAAGTGTATTCTCGAAGACGTGATAACAACAAACAACAAAATGACATATGTGTCAAATGCACGGATTATTATTGTGAATATTATTATTTAGTAAATGAATGCATCTATTGAATGAGCAGATAACTGAAGATATAAAGTCCCGGCAATGACACGCAATAAACAGTTGCTCAAATTCAAGCATCCGAGTAAAGGTGCAGTTACGAAGCTCCCTCTTAAACTAAACCAGATTTGAAGCGGTTCAATTATATTGGATCATCAATGAAAATGTTCGACTTCTAGAACTAAGTTGCTAAGAAGTGGTATTTGTATTTCGATCTAATTTTCTGCAGACACTTCAGATTGAACCACAGTAATCTGTCTAAATGGAATGCCAAACAAACAGTAAACTCCCGATTACTCAAATATACAGTCAATTCACTTTACAGTCTATTCTGTGAAGCACTTGAGACATCTAGAAGACGTGAAAAGCGCTATATCAAATGCAAGGATTATTGTTATATATTATTATTACTCACTACGTGGGGAAAAGGGCTCAATGACAAGTTATCAGGAGTGGTGAGTTATGCATACGTACAAATACATAAATAAATGAGGTCAGGATATTGACAGCAATTGTAGTGACAAATTAAACCAGGGTCGAATTATCAGTTTATTGTACTATGGAACCCCACAAGTGTTATTAAAAGCAAGAAGCCAATGGGTTGTCAGCTTGGAGATTTTGTTTGAACATAACAAAAGCAGGACACACGAAGGGAAGATTCGAGGAAAACCTGCAGACCTGTCTCATGCCTCAGTGGTGATCTGAACGCTCACATTTAATGCCTGTACTTTCTCCAGTCCAGAACATGACAGGTTCGGGACCCAAGACAAATCTTTAAAGACTTTCACTGTAGTACCCAAAAACACATCATTCAATGTTTTCCAAAAGAAGAATTCTAAACTCCCTTAACAACAACAGAATGTTACAGACTCTGGTGCCTGAACAGATCTAATCCTATTTTGTCAGGACTGTGGAATCCTTTCACTAGAACTCATCCTCACAGATACAATGCAACAAATTTATAATACAAATTTACATTTATGTAGAGCCTTTCACGTCAGGAGGATATCCCAAGGCCCTTGAACATGGTTTGCACCCATTTTATTTTATTGCACACATGTTTATTTTTCATTAAATATTTTAGATTTTTATTTAATTTTATATTCCCCTCTTGAATAATTCTCTTGCATTTGTCATGTGCTAAAGAACACATTGAGCGATCAACATCGTCTTTGCATAATTTCCTAACATATTTAAGCCAACACAACTGGAAACCAAAGTCCTTGCAGAATGCTGGAGGAACTGCAGAGAAATGGGCAAGTTTTCTCACATGCAGACATGTGCAGACAGTGATTGCAGAAGGTGTTTGCAAAGGCAGTTGAATTGATCATCTGGATCACACACCAGAAATACATCCAATTCTAATGGGGAGGAGTGCCTGGATTTCGAAGTAGGAATTAGGACTCAAGTACAGCAGCAGCAAAGAGACACCAACCTCAAACTTTAGTGTGTTATGTTACTCAAGAAAGAAAACGCACTGAACACATTCCCACAATTCTATACCAGTGTCAACTTAGTTTAGATGCGAGCTAACCTCACTCGAGCTCACAGTTTAGGCTGACACTCCAGTGCCATACTGGGACTGCAATATCAGTGGTGTGTCCTTCGAATGAGACGTACACTAAGGTCCTGTTTACCAGGTTTCAGGTGCATTTTAAAGAACCCATTATATTGATGAAAAAAGGAAAGAGTTTCTCCCAGTTTCCTAACCAACAATCTTCCGGATTAATTGCTCATTACCTCAAGGTTGTTAGTGGGTCCTTGCTGGCTCACAGTCACTACCATGTTTGTCCACAAAATCAATTAACTTAACAGTAATTCTTGGGAAGCACTTTTGACACATTATAAAAATGCAAGGCGCTATTAAACGCAAGTTTGTTTTGCTTTCGAATTATGAAGCACAATGGAAGTGACTTAATCAGCGTGTACGAGATAAACCCTTCGCCAGATAACATGCGCAAAGATTCCAAACTCAAAAAGACTATCCAAGAAGGAATGTACAAACACTTCACATGGTACTATATGTTAAACGTAAGTCTAAATACTTTACACGAAAAAGCCTGTCTCTAAAAACACAAGCACAGTACTGAAGTTGCATTTATGCATGCAGCAATGAATCCTAGCTCAAAATCACCACAGTATCCTATTTTACCAGTACTCCCACATACAGCACACACCTCTTTATAACACACCAATTACTTGGTTCCAGGGGACTGTATTATAATGAGGGTGTATTTACTGTAAACAAATTTTACACTTTGCAGTTAGAAACATCAGCCTCTAAACATCACAGAAATGTACATGCACACTTGACTTTGTTGGATTAGAAACCATTTAAATGTCCTTGCCTCACAGGAGGCATAAACTGCACACATTCACATCTAGTTGAGTTTCCTACCAAGACAGATGAACTTGCAGCTATTTACCTCTCGTGCCTCCAGATAAGGTTTCACACAAATAAAAAAGTTGTTTTTTTTTTGAAAAAAAAGTTATTTGCAAAGAGATCAACCTTTTCATAAATGACACAAGACACTTATCAAAATGTTGAGCTTGTATTAAATATGTTCAGTCTCTCTTACCCTGCACTGTTGGCATAAGTTGTTGTAGCGAAACAACAGCTGGAGATCCTAAAGTCACACTTGTGTGCTGGAAAACCATTCCATGGCGACCACCCTCTATCCGTGGCCTTTTACTCTGATCTAAATTCAAAAGCAAAACACATAGAGATCGCAATATGCAACAAAAAATTCCACTGTTTAAAAAAAGGGTACAAACCTAATGAAGCATTTTCCTTCAGGTTAACTGCAGATTCCTTCAGCAGTCACAAAATGTTGGGTTTTTCAAAAAAAAAAAAATTTTTTCAAAATTGTGAAAAAGCATTCAGAAATTAAACGCTTTTGAATCTCGTTCCGATAACTGTGGTCTCAGGTGCCCAGTGAATTTTTTTTTAATGAGGAGTGAATGGGGCGTTTTTAAAGTCTCAGATTTCTTTTAATCAGGGAATGGGACGCTGTGCCTCATTTCAATCACTCTTGCTTGTGGCATGTGCTCCAGGTAGCAACACGGGCAAAATTTGCACAGCGTTATAGCTGAAAGTAGCTCTTCAAGATTTTGCCAGTTAAAACATTTCAGAAATATCATTGGACACTTCATAGGTTGTCACTGCACAGAAATATTGGCCTACATAACCTCTTCCTATGTTTTTCACCACGTACGGCACCTAGTCTAATCCCACTTGGTCTGCTCACTCTCCACACCCTTTAACATCCTCTTTTGGGAACACCCAACTATCTCCCTCTTATGACAATTGATGCAATTTGCTTCAACTACTTTACGGCAAAGAATTCCACATTTCCACCAACCTCTGTGTGAAGACATTTGCCCTATCCTTTCTTCAAATTCTTTTTGTGATCATCTTAAACTTGCGCTGTCTCATTACTGACCAGTGTCATTTTAAAAATGGTTTACCCTAACATAACCAATCATTATCTCCTGAAGACCACCTTCAGGTCACCTCTTGGCATTCTTAGTGGGGAACGAAACTTCTCGTCTCCCTTCATAAATGAAGCCCTGATCCCCAGAAAAGCACTAACCACTGTGCACATGCATGCTACATATAGGAGGCACTGCCAATGTTCCCTCACCTATCACACGCACTGTGCAGGAGCAGTCGTGACCGAACAATCTGAACACCTACTATTTTTCTGCACTTCATTACAGCAAAGATGTCGAAGATATTAGACTCAGACATCCTATTCTAACTTTTCCCTGGTGCATATCTGCTGCCCCAACATCTGCTTAAAATCAACCTTAAAGATTGATCGAACAAACTATTTTCATGATGCCACATGGTCAGACCATTAGATAATCACAGGCTGAGCCATCTCAACCACCTCCTTCCCTCTATTTTTCAAGACAATAATTGACAATACATTTTTTGGGGGATACTTGGGAGAAAAAATAAACCAATCTACAAACACTTTCAACTAATGCTTTCCTTTAAAAAAAAGTTACAAAAATCTACAAAACCAAACAATTGATAGCATACACACAAGCCAGATATCCAAAATACATTCAGGTCTGGAAAATACCACCACCATTTTTCTTACAGTAGCCTCTTGCGGGTTAATTTACAAACACTGTTGGTTCGTTTTAATTGTGGCCGTTATTTGAAGTTACAACGCAATAACCAGAAAACACAACTGAGCAGTGAGTACCACCCTCCCACTGCGAAGCCTCAACGGACTTCAATTGTTCAATCTGTGCATTCTCTTACATTTACATAAAACCCCATCGAACTTAAGCTAATAAAAAGGTACAAAAAGCTTTGCGGATCCGTGGATTACAAAACCTCTCAGTTCATTTGAGACTACGCTATATTGTAACTTCAACCAGGAAGAAAGAAGCTTAATATAACAAAAGGTTGCAACAAAGTCTGCTTGTTAACTGACAAATTAAGACGGGAATGGGGGGAATCCAGAAAAGGTCTATTTCAGAATCACTCATCATACTATCAGGGGGCATGTGCTAAAGTTAAAATAACAACTGCAGTTGCAGGATTTTTCTTCGATCAAATAGTCCAGATTATGAAAGAATGATAAAGTATCACCTGATACTTTTCCTGCACATTGTACCTTCCACAACTAGAAGCCTCTCATCTCACAACAATAGTCTGGAACTAAGTCTTTCCACCACCAGTTCTTCCATCACACTCCGATGTTTCGGGTGCCCCAGGTCAACCTTGAATTCATGATTTAAACTGTACATTAAGATGAATATTGCGCACTTTTCAGATTCCTTCCCAATCTCACACACCCACAAACACACACATGCACAAATGAGTTATGTTCTCGGCCTGCCCCATGCAACCAACAATTTGTTTCCATACAGCCATAGCTTTAAAAGAAAAAAAACGTGAATTCATACAAATATCACATTATAAAGCGAAATAATGAATTCAAGCAACGTGATAAAGAACGTAACAGCTGTGGAACAACATTTACTGATTCCAAGGAGACACAAAAGGAATTCAATAAGTACGGTTTTATATTATACAAATAACAGATTGGAAACATACCCTAACGCAACCCTAAACCTGCACCTCCTCTAAACCAAACTGCAACGTCTCTAAACCAAACTGCGAAGAATTCTGCATATGGTACAGTCTGTGTATAATGCGGTAACTGGGGACCATAAAACCTTAACCAGCCTTATAACGGGCGCAATCGCCGGTCAGTCCCTGTGTTGTCACCGATCGCATGGCCAGCCAGCTTCCCACACTAAAAAATGGCCAACTTCTGGGTCATCAGGTCACTGCTGATGTCACTTACAGTGCATGTGCAACATGTAGGAAGGAAGTTGGTGGCATCCCGATGAATCAGACAACGGTTATTCTTAGTGTACTGGAAGTGGGCTGTAGTTACACAGAGGCCTGTGTTATAAGGAGTCTGTTTATGCCACCAACGTAACTTAAAATTTGCTGAAAGGTCATACAACAGAAGAGAAAAATAATTTTGCAATTGGAGAGCTACGAAACACTGTCAAAGACTAAACTGTAAATTCAGAGTCTCAAGGTACTGGATAGCAGCATTCAGAAATGAGCAGTAAACCTCAAAGTAAAAAAGGCTAAGAGATTGTCTGGTTTCAGAGAGCAATCCATGAGAGAAAAAAAGGAGCCACCACGTAGAGGCTCAGAACCATTCCAAGCTTGGAGTAGGTTTTACAGCAGGGAAAATAGTTGCAACAATCCTGGGAAGAATAGGAGCCAGAAGGAATGTGATGGTTTAGCTAAATTAGTTTTTTTTGTCTAACTGTAACATTTTGAAGCAATGAACACACAGCGAATAAACACAGGTGCCGAAACAAATTATGCCAATAATCCAACCAATGATTTTGTGACACCATCAGAAACGGTAACAGCAATATTCAATTAGTTTATATTCATTTGAACGGAGACCGGATCATTGATTTAAATGCATTTACAGTTTTCGATTAATTATCATTTGCAACTGGGATGGCCAACTTGTGACCCGCGTGACTATTCTACACATGCGTAATGCATGTTGGCCATCCCTGATTTACAACATGCAGCGAGAGAATTTGTTGCACCAGTTTACAAGTTTTCAGATGCTATTACAGACAAGAGAAAAAGTGCAACAATAATGAAATTTACAGCAAGTCGTCATATAACACTATCAGTGTCTCTATCCCAATGGGTCATAGGAACATTCACTATCCGGCCGGCATGAGTTGTATTGCAGTCGACATATTACAGCACTTACTGAACAGTTTACAGAAGAAACATACCTGTTAGAGTAAATGCCTGCTGCCGTTTGAAGGCTTCAATCTCCACTGTATTAGCAGTGCCAGCCACTGGGGTTCCCTGATGAGTTTGCTATGAAAGGACAAAAAACATACATCAGAATGATCTATTGGTCAGGGTCTGATGATTCAACAGGATTTAACCCCTTCTGATGCTATAATGATTCACATACTGTCAGTGCCACATGGACTCCTTACCTGAAACTGTTGCTGCTGCTGTGTTGAAAATGCAGCAGAAACATTAGGGGGAAGCTGTGTTGCTATGGCAACTGGTGTCCCAGTCTGACCATCCTTTCCTGTCACCACCTTTACCTTAAATAAAAACAATGCATTCATTCACAGGTTCATTACTAAACATCAAGTCTGAGGGGGGAAATGGTAGTGACTGACCAGGGAAAAAGCTACCAAGGAAGGATTGCTGCCGCTTGCCCCAAGGGTCAATGCAAAGGCTTTGAAAATTGTTTTTTCAGAATAATTTGAATCAATACAAATATTTTTTTGCTGAACTGGATACTGGAATATTAACGACACTAATGGAAAAGTTCAGTTAAAAATTTTAGTCCAGGACTTACATACTTACAGCAAGCCTGCAAAACAGATTGAGGGGAGAAACTGTACGGGTTCTCTGGGTCCACTATATTGGACTTGTGTTAAACGGTGCGTGCAAAAATGGGTTGTCTGGGTTGTCCGATTGCTGCTGATGTCAAGTCACTGCCTGTGCGCTGCACGTGCACATGATGCACGTTGAGGTCAATACGTTCTGTGCGTTGCTTCTCGTTAGCTCAGGACCATATTAGACCCAGGGTCAGTCTTGCAACAGGGTGTCTGTCCTGCACTGTGTGGAAGACTGGCATCATCTCTCCTGAGCCTGGCATTCAGGAAAGACCTCAATTTCACCGCAATCTATTCCCACTGTTACTTTTCTCTTCTGCCACATTTTGTTTTGACATTTTGAGCAAGACCCTCGTCAAGGAGTTAGCTATCCTAAATGGGTCATTTAAAGGAAATGGGGAAAAAGCCAAAAATAAATCGTAAAACGTTATTTCTTCAATGTCTAAGTACTGCACACATCTTTGAAATATTATCTGTGACAAAGTTTGTAGATTCTGAAAGGTGGTGGTGACAGTTTATCAGATTATTCACTCCTTAATCTACATTGCATAAACTAAGGACATTTTCCTTCGTGTGGCTTTAACACAGCACGCAAATCAAATCCTAGCAAAAGTCATACATTAAATGTAACACAAAGACCTTTAGAAAATCATAACAAAGCTAATTGCTTAAGACAATGAAGAAACATCACACATAAATTAAAACAAACATTTGAGCAGTACTTATAATTTGCTATAAATTCAGTAGTTACGCATCAATTGTGTAAAACGAAATCTTATAAAACATGGATAAATATCTGAATAATATTTAAGTTCTTACATAAATGTAACAAATGTCATACAAGAGCAGTCTAGGTTTTTATTACCAGAATGTTCTGTGAAATTGTATTATCAAAAATGGATTGAGGAGGATATTTATGTAAAAAAAAATGGTGAGGATTCCTAACTTCTATTGTTTCAACACCAAATGTAACACCAGGAGCTACTGAATTCAAGTTGTAAGATTAGCCACTTAGCCTTTATTTACAGGACAGCAGACACCAGTTTTGTGCTGTTTGCTTACAATGGGATTTCCCCATTTCAAAATAAATTCAAGATTCTCCTCTCCATTCCTCCAAATCCAGTTTGCTACTTGTGGCTGATTCCCTGCGCTCCCCCATTGGAGAGCAAACCTCACACACCATAATCCTGACCTCTATAAACCATTTTCCCTGCTTTCAGAATCTCCCCTTTGACCATATCTTCAATCCTCTACTAACTTCCTTAATATCCATCACTCCGAGGAGTGATGGATCATTATGAGGGAGTCCTTAGAATTCCTCACATTTCCTAGTTAATCTTTGCCTCGTATAATGTGCCCAGTCAGTGCTGCACAGCTTCAGATGCTGAAAGTCAAGATCTACAGAATTCAGTCATAAATCCAATCAATCTGCACAGTAATGTTTTATAATTTCCATCATCATTCTGTGCAGAACTATTATTAAAATGCACCTAGAGATTTTTTATTGTTCGAAAGTGACATTAAACATGGTGGCAGAATGTCTAGTTTAAAATGTGTTATTGTGAACTATAAGCAATGTGTCGTGTACCCAATCCCGGGCAGGGCAAAATATTGGACAAGTTTTCTTAGGAATCTGGTTGTTAGTCAATTGGTTTGTCGCTTCTCCGGGGGTAATAATCCAATCAATAAAATAATAAAAAATAATTATTTGGTCACTCAATCCACGACTGCTTATGGGACACTGCTGTGCGCAATTGGCTGCCGCGTTTTGCCCACAAATTATACAAGTCAATTCACTTTACAGTATATTCTGTGAGGCGCTTTGAGACGCCTCAACAATGTTATAAGACACTATATCAAACACAAGGATTATTATTATTATTTTATAATCAGTAAATAATATGAAATGTACAAATTCCATTTTCACTGGAAAAATGGCAATAAAAAAATTATAATATCTGGATATGTAAGGCCATTATTTAAATTATCTTTTTATCAATGTTGGTACCTTCTCTATTTCAGTAATAATACAATTTGAAACACGCTAAGGTCACATCAATGCAATCTGTATTGAAGTTCGGATTCTGTGACCAATATCATTGGAATATTGAAATCTAATATTAAATTAAGAAATCAAAATGTATTTTTCTGAAATGGTTATACAGTAACTACAGTCACAAATTCCTCAACTTCTTTTATATTTAGATTTGCTAGCTTAGAAAATAAATGGTCACTTAGCAAGGTTTGTCCAGATAATAAATGGAAATTTTAGAAAATGGTTCTGACACTGAAGTTTGTCTTAGAAAAACCTGGATAAACTTTGGGGGTCCTCGAGAACAGACCCTAATGGCTCAGTTTATTTTAAAAAATCTTTTGTCAAATGCAGGGCTAGAATATAGCAACAGGTCTACCTGTCCTTTGGGGCAGGAAACCTCCATTTGAATGAATTACAAAGATTTATCTACATAATGTAGTGGCATGAATTGTTTAAAGTTGCATCTCTCTAAGGAACAGGCTGCAGAACAAATTGCTAGATTCCAAAGCATATCATTGGTTGGGACCCATAGCAACTCTCGCCCTGCAAATTCACAAATTGTGGAAATGTCTTCAGACTAAAGAATAAATGAATATCTTACCTCATCATTAATAACCTCAGATTGCTCTTCCTCCTCTTCCTCCTCGAGATCCAAATCATTTTGTTTCAGGTATGCCATCAAAGGCACACAAGGTTTCCTTCTGAACGCTAAGAAGTCCATCATATTGCCTTGAAGATGCTGAAGAAAGAAGAGTTCAACCAAGTAATCCTTAAATGTCTCCCTCAGAGTCTCTGTTTCAGACACATGATGCTCCCAACATTGTTTTCTGGTCTGAGCAATCTCTGGCGTTGCTGGTGGAATCTCTTCCAACCTTTTTGAGTGTTTCCTCATAATTGTGACACAATTGTTGCTGGAAGCCAGACACAAAGCAGATGTAGCAGTCCGTGATGGGCTGGAAGGAGGTGGAGGTGATCCCATTGCAAAAGGTGGTGGGCCTACCACTGTGGCTAGGCTTACGGCAGTCCTTTCATAATTTGCAGATCTGGTCATCTGCTGCCCATGAAGCCCTTGTATAATGCTGCTGATCTGCGGAGGCAAGTTTGAAGTTGTAATGTGGCTAGGACTAGGCAAAGGCTGCATAGCACCGCTAGCAACAGGACTTTGCGGTCCTAGGTGGTGAATGGTTCCTCCAGTATGGGAGTGAGGCTGTGAGAGCCTGCGTTCTCGTTGCACAGAAGCCGATGAAGCAGATGCAGTAAGCTGTAACTGACCACTGGCACTAGAAGTAATTTGAGTAAGGCCTGATGCATCCTGATAGACAAAGTGTCCTGTACTTGATGGGCTGAGATTGAGTTGTCGAACAAGCACATTAGAGTCCACAAATCCTCGGGTGGGACTTTGGTTACACATGTTCAATCCTGCAGCTGCTGTTCCTGTCCGCTGAACATTTTGCAATGCTTGCATTGATACTGGACTGTGCTGCGTGGGACTCTGTGGCTGGATTTGAGACAAGGGAGATGTAACTTGAATGTATGACGGTGATCCATGTTCAAACCGCCTTTGTTGTCCTACAGCCTGCGAGCTGTACTGATACCCTGGAGACACTGGGTTTTGATTTGGATGGGACGTCAAAGTGATTTGCTGATTTCCTGCCATCACCTGGCCCAAATTCTGAAGTGTTATATTCACATTCTGCGCAGACACTGGACTCCGGCTCTTGACCAGTTTCTGGTAGCTTGGGGACTGCGGTGCTGAGGGACTGGCCACGGTGTGTGGGACGGGGCTGAGGCCGGGAGACTGGGCCAGAGCGGCGGGTTCGTCGCCCTCGCCCCCCGTGTAGGATCTGGATCTCTGCAGCGAACGCTGTACGTTTTGCGGACCGCTCCCATGGTGCATCGTCACTGCACGCGCTTTCAGGCAGATCGCCCTGAAGAGAGAGAAACGAAAAAATGACACTTTAGGGATGGAGAGAGAGGGGGGGAGGGGGCGGGGGGGTGGTGAGGGAGGTGGTGGTGGGGGGGGGTGGGTGGTTGCAATCATTTTACACCCTCTACGCTTTGAGACGTCTGGAAGACGCGATAAGGCGCTATATCAAACAGCAAAGGATTATTAAATATTCAATATTATTATGATTAGAACAACAGAGGCACAAGGGGGGGGGTGGGTCAGAGGTCACGAGGTGGTGGTGGTGGTGGGAGGGTCAGAGGTCAGGTGGTGGGGGGGGTTCAGAGGTCAGGAGGTGGAGGAGAGGGGGTCACGGGGCGACGAACACATTAACACATTAACCTTCAGATGTGGGACTGTCTGCGGTGTCTCAGCGTTTTGTGATTTTACAAACTGTCAACAGCTCTCATCGCGCGGCCCACACCCCCCCCTCACCCCACCACCCCACCCCCGGGCTGCGCGCGCCCCTCACCCCCGCGCTGCGCGCTCCCGTCCCAGCGCGGCCTTCGGTGCGCGCGCGGGGGTGGGGGGGGGGGGTGTGGGGTGTCGCGCTTCCGCAGCAGCACCGGCCGGCGCGCGCGCGCGCTGCCGCGGCCCTCCCTCCCTCCCTCGCTTACCCGCTTGTCAGCGCGCCTGCCGCGGCCGCGCCGCCATCCAGCCGCTGCCGTTTAGCCCTGAGGGTGACGGGGACCGAACCGGGGGGGAGAGGGGTGGTGGGAGGGTGGGGGGGGGGTGAAGGGCGGCGGGAGCCGCGGCGGGGACAGGCGGCGGCGGCGGTGGCGGCGGCGGCGGGCGGGCGGAGTGCGGAGGGGCTGCGCTCAGACTCCGCGATCCAACATGGCGGCCCCGCGCTCCCCGACAGGAAGTGGAGCTCCGCCGCCGGAAGTCGGGGCGCCGGTGACGTCGGCCGTGCGATCGGCGTGTGAGGGAACCAATGGGGAGCGGCTGCCGCCTGGGGGGGGGCGGGGCCAGCGCTGCAATGTCAGTCAGAGCGCGGGAGCTGCTGGTCACTGACCTGTGTGCACTGTGTGTGTAGTGACTCTGTGTGTGTGTACATACAGTATATGTATGTGTGTTTATCTGTACTGTTATCCTGTATATCCTGTGTGTGTATATACACAGCATATATGTATCCATGTATATATATGTATGGACTGCTAGTATGTATATACTGTGTATATATATATATATATAGTTATCCTGTGTATGTTTATATGTAGTTATTCTGTGTATATATGTATTATGTACTGTTCTGTGTATATATGTATTATGTAGTTATTCTGTGTATATATGTATTATGTACTGTTATTCTGTGTGTATATGTATTATGTAGTTATTCTGTGTATATATGTATTATGTACTGTTATCCCGTGTGTATATGTATTATGTACTGTTATCCCGTGTGTATATGTATTGTGTACTGTTATCCTGTGTGTATATGTATTATGTACTGTTATCCCGTGTGTATATGTATTGTGTACTGTTATCCTGTGTGTATATGTATTGTGTACTGTTATCCCGTGTGTATATGTATTATGTACTGTTATCCCGTGTGTATATGTATTATGTACTGTTATCCCGTGTGTATATGTATTGTGTACTGTTATCCTGTGTGTATATGTATTATGTACTGTTATCCCGTGTGTATATGTATTATGTACTGTTATCCCGTGTGTATATGTATTGTGTACTGTTAGCCTGTGTGTATATGTAGTTAGTCTGTGTATATGTATATATGAAGGGCGCTATTTAAACACAAGTTGTTGTACTGTTATCCTGTGTGTATATATTACAGTATGCGTGTGTATCCTGGCACCCACTCCCCACCATGTGAGGCTCAGCCCTGCCCTGGCCGATACTGGTACCACAGCCCCGGCCAGCTTGGCTCATCAGCAGGACTTTGAGGAGCAGACCAGTCACCGTGAGCCAAACAACTCCTGTAGACACTTCACGCCAAAGTCCTAATGCGCAGGATGATCCCAGCTGGATAAACAGCAGGATCCCTGCCAGACCATGCTCCCAATAACAAAGTGAACAGGCTATCAGCGTTAGCCTGTTAAACTCCAGCATGGCACTGAAATTAAACTCGTAGCGATGAAACGGTGGGAGGGTGAAAAACACACACGAAAGGTATCTTTGGTGAATTTTCTCCATTTTATTGCCTTCAGTTAAAAGCTGCAAAGCAACAATGCTTGAATTCAAATACAGATGTTGTTGCATTGTAACTCTGATCAATTACCCGATTAGAAGACAGGATATCAGAAACATGATTAGATCAGTACAAGTAGAGAGGAGTTAAGGCAACAATATCATATGGAAAATGTCCTCTGTTGAGTTTGTACAAATCATTTAACAGCATTCAGACAGCAGAAATTAAAATTTATAGAAAAGAGATGGGTAAAATTTTATTAAAGATTAACAAAAATAATGATTTAAGGGGTCCATTAGCAGGTGGTTTCTCGTGTGTTAAAACTTTCAATCCTTTTCAACAGCAACAAAAGCATACGCACACACGCAAAGAGTAAAATGAGGCCAAAAGTTTTAAAACTGAAAATACTAGAATCCATTACTGGTCCCTGATTGAGCTTCTTCTCTAAAATGTTTGTGAAAGTTGAAACTTCCGGCCAATTCTCACTTGCCAGAGGTCATTTCCACAAACGTCTGAACACCTGAGTGAAAGAACTCCAGCTGCTATCGCGAAGTCTCAATCCTCGCATTCCATCAGCTGTCTTGGAAACCACATTTGAATGTCCATTCTTTGAGCGAGCAACTCAGTCAGAATCATCTCCATCACTGCCTTCACCGGTTTTCTGAAGGTATAGGACAAAAAAAAGGTTAGAATGCATTCCTAAAATTTGCTTTTCACATAATCAGGCAATGCCTTCTCTGAAGGAGAATGTATTTATAATGTTTTTTTCACAATATAAGATGGATATTTACAATATTCCAACATTTTGACTTTACTACTTAATTCAGTTCAGATTTATTTCATTAGAACTCTGAACTAGAACAACATTATTATATCTATGCTTATTAATAGCAAAGGTGAAACAAAATGTAGAAATGAATAATAATCAAATGGAACAGCAATTATTAGCATCCACAGATACCAGGGACCAGCTATCAAGGAAGAAATAGCGGAGGCACTTTTTAATTTATACAAGCTTTCATTTTACAATCAAAATAAGCCGGTTATTTAGCATAAAGAATTAGCTACAGGCATTTCTTTTTTTTTGTTTGTACCATATCTGCTGCACTGAGCATTCATAACTTTGAATCAAAGACCAAGGCCACTAGCTCAGGTCTTGATGAAAGATTCTTAGTAGTGACAACAATTAGGTAAAAAGTAATGAAAGTTGTCCTTTACTATTTCTCCACATACTAAAGGGAACAAAGTCTGTATCTCAATTACCTTCGAGTCATCCTCGTTTACCTGAACACTTGATGCAGTGGCATCAAAATTATGGATTGGCAGCGTGCATAGCCATTTAGCCATTGATTGCTCCTCAGCCTCAGTCTGAATAATAGTAGGATAGATGTAATCCTCTTTGAAGCCCGCAATACGTTCTTCAGCATCAGCCCAGTCCAGAGGCTCATGAACTCCATCATTACCAAAACGACGGTTATAGTTTTCAAAATGCACCGTATCTAATACCAGCCCAAGACCAGGGGCCCTCGGAACATCAACCTTCTCCTCGTCCCAGCTTTCCTGCATTTTGGACTCAGGGGCATATCCTTTCACTATGGCAATCACCAAGCCAATCATCTTCCTTATCTGATGCATCACAAAACTTTGGCCTTTGACCTTCAGGATAGCAAGTTCCATACCTTGCCTCACAAAAGGCTCCTCACAAAACATCTCCATTATGTAGCGCTTTGCACTGGGGTCCCGAGGACCCTTGCCCGAGGTGAAATTGTGGAAGTTGCGGGTTCCCTTGTAACATGCCAACAATCTGTTCACGTGCTCAAGTGTCTCTTTGCTCAGACGATACTCTTTATCCTGCTTGTCACGGTCCTTGTGAGCAAATGCAAATGTAGGCAGCATGTAGAAGTAGGTTCTGGCATCACAGGTGTTCTTCGAGTTGAATCTCCCAGTTACCCTCTTCAATCCTTCAGAAAGAAGCAATTTACAGGTCAACATGTTGCAGCTTAACTGCAGATCCTTAAAGTTGAAATTAAGATACAAATACAACAATACAATTGTATGTATTTTTAGCTCATTGCTCAGCGCATAGACAGAGCAGAAAAGAGGAGGAAATCAGTCTGGATTCTTGCTCCTGATCGCTTCTCAATCACTTCTGCAAACTGCATATTTGTACAACAGATAAGGGTAGGATCCCCATGCTCAAATACTCCAAGGTCTACAGCAATCTTTGTTGGGACTGGGCATTGTGTAGTGATGCCTGTGGAGGAAAGGAGGCCAGGGCTGAATATTCTGCTTTTACTTTGGGATTCTTGGGAGTATCTATACAGCATTTTTTCTAGGAGATGGAGCTATGGGATAGAGCCACGGTTTGGGTGGGATCTGCATGGCTTGAAAGGAGCCAGCTTGATGGGCTGAGAGGTCTTTTCATTTCCATGACATGATCTTTACCCAGAAATTGTTCTATTCTCATTAAGCATAAAGCCCTGGTGCTACCAATGAAAAGAAGGCAATACTCTGATAGCCAAGGGCCAAAGTCTGCTGATAACCATACCCAATACTTTGATGCACGGTGGTAAATTTTCATTGATCTTGTCTAGTAAGTTATCGATGAGCCAGAGTTTCAGTGAGACAATCTGACCAGCAGCAGAAACACCCTGAAAAACAAACAGTAATTATCATGTGAAGAACCTCGGATCCCTGTAGGGAAAGCTCCACTGCAAATTCTAAAACACAATAATAATTAGTACTGTGAAATGTTTACTCGATTACTGGGAAGAATAAAATTCCAGACAGCACAATACAACAACTTATTTACTGTCTTCAGTACAGAAATGGCATCTTAAAAGCGCTTAACAAATATGCTACGGAGTGCCGAGCAGGAGAGGAGAATGACAGATGTTCACCAAAAACATGTTTGAAAAAATGTTTGGGGGAGAATTTTGAGGCAGGGAGAGAGGGGGAAGCAAGGTAGAGGCTTTGCAAATAAGTTCACAGGGCATAGTGGCTGAAGGCTCAACCACCAATGGTGAGTTTTTCCTCGTTCTTTGGTTAATTCAAAACCAAACCAAAGCTTTTATTCACATGTCCATAAAAAAGACATTACAGTATAACATACCTTATCAGTTCTCGCACTCCTCTGAAAGGACATTTTCTTCATATCATCACCGTGACTCTCAGGAATACACTCAGCCTGTACGAGAGCTTTAACCAACTCATCTTCAATTGTCTT